ATATATATATTTATTTATTTATTTATTTACATCCAATAATATATCTTTTCTATATGCAAAACGACTAAATTCTAAATCCAAAACTCCAGTTACTAAATTGATCCTCTCAAAACTATACCATAAATGTACAACAGAAAATCTAAACCTTAAAAAAAACTAAAACTTAATTGAACATATTTTTATTATGTAAAAAAGAGTAAAAAATGAAAATAGCAATAAAAATGGTATTTTTACCAAAAGGTATCAAATATAGGGCATTAGTCAAAATTTCTCATAATAAAGCCAAAAAAATGCATTTGCTAAATAATTTCCAAAATAATAAGTAAAAAAAAAAATTCGTCGTAAATATGCTTTTTATATTACTGCTCCCCAAATAATATGGCTCCCAAATTCTAATCAATCAAGTAAATTCTAATCAATCCCTTCTATTTACTTTGTAAGAAACAGCAAATATACACTTAATAACTTTGAAAACAACTTCAAATACTGATATAAATATAAATTAATTATAAATATATGCAATTTTAAATCAAATTATTATGGTGTCGTTTAGAAATTAATTAAATTAAGTAATTTTGGTGTAGTTTATAAATGATATATTCAAAGTCATTATTGTCTAAGTATGGTTTAAAAATTATAAATTAAGTTAATGAATTTTAAAACAACTCCAAATACTATTATAAATTATAAATATGTATATGCTTCCAACAATAAAAAAAAATGTTCTATCTAATAATATTTTTAAAAAGAACAAGATAACTTTGAAACATCTCCAAATACTATTACAAATTATAAATATGTGCTCCCAAAAATAATAAAATTGTTTTATTTATATTTTTTTTTAAACAAGATAACTTTGAAAAAGAACTCCAAATACTATTAGAAGAAGGACGACGACGAGTAATCTCTCAATCTCCCTATTATATATACACATAATTCATCTCTCTCTATTACAACAAGCCAAAAGTTAATTATGACGATCAAAGAAGAGCTGCCTCAAGATGTTGAGTGTGCGGAAACATTACTGCTTATGCTTAAACTCAAAACCAACACTTAGAGAGTATAGGAGACTTCAGTTATCTATACGTAAAGATGCTGAGAAGAGAGACTCTCTTCGGAGAAACAAAAGCTCGACGACGATTACTACTCGTTCTTCTACCGTCGTAGAGTACTACTCTATGCTCGAAGACGAAGACCTTGAAGACCATAATCTCGCTCCTCCCATGGAACGAGAATCTAAGAAGACAAAACAAAGTAAGAAAGATGCTATGAAGAGGACGTCTCTTCCATACATTAGCTCGGCGATTACTACTCGTATTACTACCATCATGGAGTCTTTGCTTAAAGAAGAAGACCTTAAAGAGTATAATCTCCCTCCTTGCATGGAAAAACAAACTAAAAAGGAAACAGGCAATAAGAAAGATGCTACTTTAAAGATAAGAGAGACAACGCCAGAGTGGCTGAGAATGTTGATGAGAGAAAAGAAAGATGGAGATGAGGAAGACGATTCGAAGAAGATCATAGTTAAAGAACTGACGGAAACTGATGTCAATGATAACAACAATCGTCTCTCGATACCTATCACGGACGTTGTGGAGTTGGATTTCTTGAGACCCGCTGAAGAACTTATCCTTGAAGAAGATCTCAAGAGGTTCCGCAATAAAATAGGAGTGAACTCGATACTCTTGGTGGTATCTTTTGATCGCAAGGAGATCAAAGAATACAAAATGAGTCTGAAGTTATGGCCTATGACAGGCCGTTTTTTATATAATCTGATTACTCGTTGGAAACAAGTAGTTAGAGATTGCCGTCTAAGGAGAGAACATAAGGTCAGCCTATGGTCTTTTCACTCCAAAGATCAACTCTGTTTCGTTCTCGTTCCTTTCCCTGCCAAGTACGATTAGCCAAACGAGAAACCTAATGATGACTTGCCGGACAAGGAAGCTTTGGTTATTGTTTTGGTTTTTTTTTTATCATCGGTTGATTCTTAGGATTTTTGATTTTTTTAATGTGGGTGCTTTGTTCTGATTTTTGGTTATTATCAGGTTATTTAATGTGGGTATGTTATGGATTTTTTTTTGGTGTTTATTATTAGGTATGTTAACGTTTCACACTCTAATAACATACACAAGTGTTTTAGTAAACGAGAAAATCACATTAGCATTATGATTTTCATAATTAAACCAAGGAAGCTAAGCTTGTTAACTTTACTTGGAACTGAACTTAAACGCAGGAGTTGTGTCTTGTTCATAAACACATTCCAAAGTGAATAAGTCCCCTGTCTTAACGCCATTAGCCTCACAAAAGCCTTTCCAACCAGATCCCAGAGCCACAACTCCATCTTTTGACAGTAGATACGCAAAGCACTTCATTCTGCGTTGACCCAAGATAGTTATCTTCCCTAGCTTGTTGATGCCACTAGCCTTCATGAATTGACTTGGAAGAATCTGCAAAAGATTTGAATAAACACAGTTCATTACTAATTAGAATCAAGACATACACGAAGCAACGTTTGATGCAAGAGTTATCTGATGAACCTACTAGTTTACAGTCTCTAACATCTTCTGGTGTGAGTGTTAATGTCACAGATTGATTTTGGATTGCTGAAGACAAGTCTCTCCTCTCCTCTCTGGTGCTAGTGGCTTTACTGTTCTTGTAACCTCTGATAATTTCTGCAGATATCGACTCTTTCTCGCTATTTTTGGAACACTCTCCTTGCTGGCTTCTACCACTTGTGGACTCTGTACTGCACAAACTTAGCATAGGAGTTCCATTCTCCAAAATTGCCTCCAACGTGAAAGATTCACCGCTCTTCAAACCATTTGATATAGCAAACTCTTTCCAGCCATTTCCAAGACACATCATTCCTGTTTTTTCCCTTCGAATAATTGCCTCCAACTTTGTACCATCGTTGCCAACTAGAGTTATTATCCCGGGTTCGTCCAAGCCATTTTCTCTTGTGAATGACAATGGGAGATACTGGAACACAATTAAGTGGATAACATACTTAATATGAGTACAAGTGATCAATCTAACGTCTACCCTCTGAAACAAGAGTTGATTGATGAACTCACCCGTCTACTTTTAATGAGGTTGTCATGAGTAAGCGTTAATGTCACGAATGGGTGCAGGCTCGCTGGAAATGAGTTTCTCCTCACGTCTCTGTTGTTCTTGGCTTTGCTGCTCTCTTTGCCACTGCTATGTTCTGAAAAAATCGACTCTTTCTCGCTACCTTTTGAACACTCTTCTTTCTGCATTCTATCACGTGTGGCCTCTGTACTGGACAACCTGAGCAGACGAGTACCGTTCTCCAAAATTGCCTCCAACGTGAATGATTCGCCGCTCTTTAAGCCGTTTGCAATAGCGAAGTTTTTCCAACTTCTTCGGAGACACATTATTCCTGTTTTTTCCCTTCGAATACTTCCCTCCCACCTTGCACCATCTTTGCCAACTAGAGTTATTATCCCAGATTCGTCCAAGCCATTTTCTCTTGTGAATGACAATGGAAGATACTGAAACATAATTGAATGAATAACATACTTAATAAGAATGCAAGATATCAAACTAACGCACCCTCTGAAACAAGGGTTGATTGATGAACTCACCCGTCTGCTTTTAGTGAGGTTGTCATCAGTAAGTATTAATGTCACAAACCGGTTTTGGCTTGGTGAAGTTGAAACTCTAAATCTCATACGCTTCTTCTTCATCTTCAGCTCCATACAATTTTCTTTGTCTTTCTTGTCTCTGTGTATTCCCTTGTTGATAGATTCAGTGGAGCAGAAACTGAGCTCCCGAACTTCCCTGTTCCCAACTAGTTTGAAAACAAAGACACCTCCTGCTTTTTTACTGTTTTCATCGCAGAAACTTCTCCAACCTCGGCTAATGTAGAAAGTATCAGATGATTTGTTGAAACTCAGGTCCATTGCCCATGATCTTTCCCTATCATCTGTTACAACAATCTTATTGCAATTTCTCTGAAGACCAACTGAGCTTGTTAAATCATGTGGAAGATACTGCAACAAAAGGGTTCAGACAATTTTCAGCACAAACCTTTGTTTTAGTCTCATCACTAACCATCTCAACAACAGTATAGCAAATGTGATAGAACACTTTCTTCAGTCTCCTGATTCTACTAGGTACACAAAATAAGTAGCAAGCATATACAGGCCAAATCAAACCAGACTAAGCAGAATCTAAGTAACCAAACTAAAGTTCAGAATAAATTTGAGAAACCCACATTGAAGTTAACGTTTGAACCAAAGTGCCAAACTTTAGAAACATCTCTTCACTGACTAAAAGCACAGTATGCATTAAACTGTTAGCATCGTTTGGTTTACTAAGTGACTTAACCCACATTATGCAAACAAAAAAAAAGCTAGAATATAAGCACCAGAGCATCTTTCTGTAGATTTGAAGCTGTGACAAGGGCAACAAAACAAGAGTGGTCTGACGATGAATCAGCTTCAGTTTCCAAATTGGTCTTCTTCATTTTCTTCTTTCTCACATGTTCTGCATCAGTGAAAAAACCAAACTTGTAAAACTGTTCTTGAAACAGCCTCAACAAACCAAGTAATCTTGGTCATTACAACAAGATAAAGCAGAATTAGAATTACCTTCTTCTGTTCTTAGTCGCCGATGCTTCTTCCTCGAAATGTTACCTGCGTTAAAACATCTAGGACTAAGACAGAGATACACACAAGACAAAATCTTTCATCAACAGTGCTAAATTTCACTCATTAGTCATTACTCAAAACCCGAATCAGACAAAGAACTTAAATTGCTTTCATCACAGTTTCCTCTCACATAAAAACTTCATTTTTGCAGTTTATATCGTCAAAACAGAACAGAATCAAACTCACCGGTCTTGCCCTGATCATTGTCACTGCTTGGAGTCGCTAAGCCTCGATTCTCACAGCAGCCAGGTCCTAAATCCGACAACTTTAACACCATCTCTCAAAACCCACTTTACACGGTCTGTCTTCTACTCCCCGTTCCTTTCTTCTGGAAGCTTCGACAAGGAATGCAAAAACCCTAGAAATTGCTGTCTCAGGTGAAAAGACTCTTCTTTTTTTCAGGGCAGACGCAACTTTGTTTGTTCCTCCTCCCTCTTCTTCAGGGATCGAGTTTTAATGTTAGCATATACAATTGTTGAGTTAAAAATTCGAAAACTCGGCGCGTATCCTTAGTTTAACTATTCATTTAAGTGTTAAATGTTAAAATACAGATGAGTTTGTTCGAACAAATTAACTAAAGATTGTGATTGAAAAATCTCATTCTCAGTATCAAAGATATGAGATTCCAAATCCAAACTTTTTATACTTAGCAAACAAAAAGGCTTCTAGTTTTAAAGGAAGGCTTGTGCAATTTACATCTTTGAATAAAACTTTATATGTCTCTCTTTACCCTACGAATTTGGAAGAGAACTTAAGCACAAGAGATGTGTCTTGTTCATCAATATATTCCAAAGTGAATGAATCTCCTATCTTAACGCCATTAGCCTCACAAAAGCCCTTCCAACCAGATCCCAGAGCTACCACTCCATCTTTTGACAGTAGATATGCAAAGCACTTCATTTTGTGTTGACCCAAGATAGTTATCTTCCCTAGCTTGTTGATCCCACTAGCCTTCATGAATTGACTTGGAAGAATCTGCAAAAGATGTGATCAAACATATCTCGTTTACTAATTAGAATCAAGAAAGAAGCTAACCAACCTTTGAAACAATAGTTATCTGATGCACTTACTAGTTTACAGTCTCTAACATCTTCTGGTGTGAGTGTTAATGTCACAAATCGATTTTGGATTGATGAAGATGAGTCTCTCCTCTCGTCACTGTCGTTAGTGGCATTCCTGTTCTTGTTTCCTCTGCTAGGTTCTGCAGAAGTCGACCCTTTCTCGCTATCTTTGCAGAACTCTCTTTGCTGGCTTCCATCACTTGTGGACTGTGTACTGAACAAACTGAGCATAGGAGTTCCGTTCTCCAAAAATGCCTCCAACGTGAACGAGTCACCGCTCTTCAAACCGTTTGATAAAGCGAACTTTTTCCAGCCCTTTCCGAGCCACATTTTTTCTTTTTTTTCCTTCAGAAGACTTGCCTCCCACTTTGTACCATCTTTGCCAACCAGAGTTATAATTCCAGGTTTGTCCAAGCCAATTTTTCTTGTGAATGACATTGGAAGATACTGAAACATCATTGAATGGATAACACAGTTGATAAAAGTGCAATAGATATAACTTAATATACGTTCTGAAACAAGAATTGATTGATGAACTCACCTGTCTACATTTTTTGAGGTTGGTATGTGTAAATGTTAAAGTCACGAATCGTTTCTTGCCTGCAGGAAATGAGTTTCTCCACATGTCTCTGATCTTATTTGTTTTCATCATTTTGTCTCCACTACTAGGTGTTGAAGAAGTCAACTCTTTCTCGCTATCTTTTGAACACTCCCTTTGCTGGCTTTCATCACTTGTGGACTGTGTACTGAACAAACTGAGCATAAGAGTTCCGTTCTCCAAAATTGCCTCCAACGTAAACGAGTCACCGCTCTTCAAACCGTTTGATAAAGCGAACTTTTTCCAGCCCTTTCCCAGACACATTATTTCTCTCTTTTCCCTCAGCAGATTTGCCTCCCACTTTGTACCATCTTTGCCAACCAGATTTATAATTCCAGGTTTGTCCAAGCCAATTATTCTTGTGAATGACAATGGAAGATACTGAAACATAATTGAACAATTAACACAGTTAATAGATATAACTTATTGTACGTTCTGGAAAAAGAATTGATTGATGAACTCACATGTCTAAAGTTTTTAAGGCTGGTATGTTTAAGTGTTAAAGTCACAAATCGTTTCATGCCTGCAGGAACTGAGTCTCTCCTCACGGCTTTGATGTTATTCGCTTTCATCATTTTTTCTCCACCACTAGGTTTTGAAGAAATTAACTCTTTCTTGCTATCTTTTGAACACTCTCCTTGCTCACTTGTGGACCGTGTACTGAACAAACTGAGCATAGGAGTTTTGTTCTCCACAATTGCCTCTAATGTGAAAGATTCGCCAGTCTTTAAGCCATTTGCCTTAACAAAATCACTCCAGCCCTTTCCCAAAACCATTCTTCCTGAAGCTTCCCGTTGAAGATTTGCCACCCACTTCATACCAGCTGTGCCCAACAGAGTTATCATCCCAGGTCTTTCCAAGCCATTTTCTTTTGTGAATGGCAATGGAAGACCCTGACACATATTTGAATAGATAGCATACTTAATAAGAGTCTAAGAGATAAAACTAACTTACCCTCTAAAACAAAACTTGATCAATGTACTCACCCGTCTAGACTTTATGAGGTTGTCATGTGTAAGCGTTAATGTCACAAACCGGCTTTTGCTTGGTGAAGTTGAATTTCTACATCTCATAGGCTTCTCTTTTCTCTCCAGATGCATACAGTTTTCTTTGTTCTTCTTATTTCCTTGTGTTCCATCGTTGATAGATTCAGTAGAACAGAAACTGAGAATTGGAGTTTCCATGTTTCCAACTAGTTTGAAAACAAAGACGCCTCCTGCTTTTTTACCGTTTTCATCGCAGAAACTTCTCCAACCTTGGCTAATGTAGAAAGTATCAGATGAATTGTCGAAACTCAGGTCCATTTCCCATGATCTTTCCCTTCCATCTGTTACAATAATCTTACTGCAATTTCTCTGAAGACCAACTGAGCTTGTTAAATCTTGTGGAAGATACTGCAACACAAGGGGTCAGGTATTTTCAACAAAAACCTTTGTTTTAGTTTCATTACTAAAGCATCTTAACAAACGTATAGCAAATGTGATAGAACACAAAATACGCTTGCAGGCATATAGGCCAAATCACACCAAGCCAAATGCAATCAAATCAGACCAAGTAGAATCGAAATGAAATATGATTTTACTTCAATATATATGACAAAGTGAACCAAACTAAAAAATTTGAGAAACCCACATTGAAGTTAACGTTTGAGCCAAAGCGCCAAACTTTATAAACAGCAGTTTATTGATTAAAGCACAGTATGCAATAACTGTTGGCATCGTTTGGTTGACTGACTGACCAAACCACAGTATGCAAAAGAAAAGTATAAGCACCAGAGCATCTTTGTGTAGATTCGAATCTGTGACAAGGGCAACAAAACAAGAGTGGTCTGACGATGAATCAGCTTCAGTTTCCAAATTGTTCTTCTTCATTTTCTTCTTTCTCACATGTTCTGCATCAGTGAAAAAAAATCAAACTTTATAAACCCTCTAATACTTTTATTTCAAACTGTTCTTAAATCTTAACACAACCTTACAAAACCAAGTAATTTGTATAGATACACACAGACACAAAGATAGAACATACCCGTGTTGTTCTGTTCATCATCTCCTTCATCTGTCCTTAAACGCCGATGCTTCTTCCTCGAAATGTTACCTGTGACTAAGAGAGGTATTTGTAAGAAATACACACAAGACTAAACCTTTCTTCAACAATGCTAAATTTCACTCCTTTTCCATAACCCGGATCAGACAAATCCCTTAAATTGCTTTCCCAATCATAATAAAAACGTCAACTTTGCAGTTTATATCGTCGAAACAAAACAGAATCAAGCTCACCGGTCTTGTGTTGATCATTGTTGCTGCTTGGAGCCGGTAAGTCTCGATTCTCACAGGAGCCAGGTCCAAAATCTGACAAATTTAACATCCTCTCTCAAACCCACATTACATAGTGCGTCTTCTACTAGTCCCTGATACTTTCTTCTCGAAGCTTCGAAACCCAGAAGCAGAAACCCTAAAAAAGACTTATTTGGTCAGGCCAGAGGAACAAAGAGAAAAAATACCAACTTTGTTCAGCTTCTTCTTCTGAAGAGAAAAAAAGACTTATCTAGTACATAATTTTGACTATGAACAAATAAGTTATTATGTCCATTAACGACCATACCTATTAACATACATGTATTAATGGATTGTACATTGGATCAGAATAAATATATAGTGTAAAAGATACTAAATTTTTTTTTTCAAAAAATTGGAGAATAAAAATGAGTTTAGTTTTTCTTCTAAATTGATTTTAACATAATTTTTTATATTATATAGACCATTCAGTGTCCATATTGTTCTCGAGCGAAATTGGATTAAATTGTTAAAATTCACTTTATATATATTTAGGCTATGAATGTTTTATAATTTTTGCATTCCACAATTTCGTTAAATTCTAGTGAGAAAACAGAGCAATTATTAGATGTATCATCTTATGTTCTAGAAAAAAAGACATTAAAATGACCATTATATTCGTTTCTTCTATCATTTCTAACTATTTTTTCGTTGTGCTAAGTTGATTTTAGTTATGTTAACTTGATTTTGGGGTTTAATATGCTTTTGAATATATATTTTCTAAAATATTATTTTACAAGATTATACTTAATAATAAGAAAATATAATCATATAACCAAATAAACTCTTAATCATCTCAAATTTGTTTTTTATGTGAATAAACAACAATTTCTTTATAAATAAAAGTAAAAATTTGTAATCAAGTCAATAAAATACTACAAGCGTGTATGGCACGGGTCATAGCACTAGGTTTAAAGATAAGTGAACAATCAAAACGACGCTGTGTTTGAGTTGCCCAAGCTAGGTTAGTCTGTTTTCCTCTCTTCTTCTTCGTCTCTAGCTCTATCTCATCACTCAGTAACGAAACTCTAACGCGACCAATCATGTGGAGTTCCATAGTGAAGAAAGATCCTCCTTCAAAACCTCCGACCACGGCCGGAGCTCCGGCGGCGATTCTAGGTTTGGTCGGAAACTGCAAATCCACAAAAGGGATATCTATTGCGGTCGTTGACGCCAACGCCGTCATCGAAGGAAGCTTGAACAACTTCGTAGCCGAAAAATTCGTAACCGTCCCTGAAGTACTCCACGAGATCCGTGACCATGATTCTCGCCGTCGTCTCGACTTCATCACTATCGAAACCATGGAACCTTCTCTTGAATCTCTCAGTAAAGGTATATAGAAAACAGAACCATTTGGTTGTGTTTAAGACAAGAAGCATTTGTTGTGTTGTATCTCTGACATTGACTTTTTTTCTTTTTCTTTTGTAGTTGTGAATTTTTCTAATGCAACTGGTGACTTTGGTCTCTCTGATGTTGATCGCAAAGTGATTGCTTTGACATACACGCTCGAGGCTCAGTTTCATGGGACGAAACATCTCAGAGATGTTCCTCTGCCGATTCAAACTGTTAGGGTAAAGAGATCATTACCTGAGGAGTTACCTGGTTGGGGCTCCAATGTGGCTAACTTGGAGGAGTGGGAAGCACTAGAGAATGATACCGAGGAGAAACCAAACATGTCCTCCAAGATCCTCCCGCTTCAAGACCTTGACATAAATATAACTGAAGATCAAGCAGAGGATGAACAAGAAGGTGAGATTAAGAAAATAGAGGTGAAGCTTGCGGGTAAGATGGTAGTAGAAGGAATAGATGCGTCGCGGGGCGAATATGATGATGAAGATAGTTGTGACTGGAGACCTGCGGTTAGTAGCAGTACTCATAGAAAGTTCCTTAGGAGAAAAGCCAAGTGGGAACATTACAATGCCTTGGCTGAGCAAGAAGTTCAGAAAGATCAAGAAGCTGAAAAAACTGGTAACTTCACACAGGATACAACTACTGACCTAAGGTCGTCGGAGCAAGATTCATTCAAGAATCTCCAAGAAGGGCTTGAGGACACGAATGGTGAAGATGATGTTGAAGTTGAAGCTGAGGGAAACGAGCAGAGTTTGCCATTGAGAGCTTTACCTGAGTCCAGTGTAGCTTGTATAACAAGTGACTATGCAATGCAAAATGTTATTCTTCAAATGGGTTTGCGTTTGCTTGCACCTGGAGGAAAGCAAATTCGCCAACTAAAGAGGTAAGCCTTTTACCTTCCAAGTTACTTTAGCTGAGAAAGATGTCTTTACACTTTGATTACGTTTGGATATATTTTTAGGTGGATCTTGAGATGTCATGCTTGCTACACAGTAACTCATGAGCTTGGAAGAAACTTCTGTCCCAAGTGCGGTAATGCAGGCACTCTAATTAAGGTAGCGGTTACTATAGACGAGAATGGTACCACCATAGTTGCGGGTACACCACGTATTAAACTTCAAGGGACCAAAGTAAGTAGTAGCTAAACCAAAACCACATCTATATATATATGATCAGTTCATTATAAATGAGTCATTTATTATCTTTGTGAAGTTTTCGATACCAATGCCTAAAAGTGGAAGAGATGCAATCACTAAGAATCTGGTTTTACGGGAAGATCAACTGCCTCTTCATCCCAAGACCAAGAAGAAAGCAACCAAACCGGTTAGTATATACAAACTTGAATCGCAAGGAAAACATTTTGACTTGATTATATTGTGTTGGTTTACAGGGAGATGAGTATTTTGTATCAGACGATGTGTTCATGAACCATCACAGCAATAAAAAGGCACCATTGCAGCCTCCTGTGAGAGAAACTATGGCGATTTTAAGACAGAAACGGAACCCTAACGACAACCATTACTCTCGTTCTATGCACTGATTCTTTTTGTGTTTTGCCGACGATACAAGCATCTCCCTTTACTTTACGATGATGCCAAATGATTTTGTTTCTTTAACATTTTTTTTTTTTTATTGTTGACGAAGATGAAATACAATTCATTATATAGACAAATGTATATATATATGTAGAACCTGTCATGCGTGTGATACCTGGAGACAACATTTGAGAAACCTTGCTAAAGTACTAATTAACATATATTTGGTCTGCCTAGTTGGAGTAGAACTTAAATACATGGTTTGTATTATTTACTTTGGGAATGAATTCCAAAATAAAAGACTGTCCTAACATCACACCATTTGCTTCACAAAAACCTTTCCAACCATTTCCCACAACGACAGTTCCATCTCTTGACAGTAAATATGCAAACCACTTCATACCGCCTCGACCCAACAAAGTTATCTGTCCAGGCTTGTTGATGCCGTTAACTCTCATGAATTGACTTGGAAGATGCTGCGATATATTTGAACAGAAACATCTCATTACCAATTGAAATTCAAGAGATAACCTCTAAAGCAAAGAGGTGTTTTAATAAGCTTACCAAGTTACCATCTCTGACATCTTCATGTGTAAGTGTTAATGTAAGGAATCGGTTTTGGATATCTGAAGATGAATCTCGTTTTCTAGGACAATACGTTCTTTTCTTCAACTTCGGTGAGCTACTACTCTCTTCTCTGATGTTTTCTGCTTCCCTGGTCTTGTGTCCACTGCTAGCATCTGTGAAACAAGAGACACTGCTAGACTCTATATGGAGCAACTTGAGCATAGGAGATGCATCTTCCCAGATTGACTCTAACGTGATGGAATCGCCTGTCTTTAAGCCGTTTTCTTTAGCAATATCTTTCCAGCCTTTTCCCAAACTCAATCTTCCTCTTCTTTCCAGTAGAAGACTAACTAGCCACTTCACACCATCTTTACCTAACACAGTTATCTCTCCGGGCTTATTCATACCATTCTCCGTCATGAATTCCAGTGGAAGACGCTAGAAAAGATATGAACAAAGAATAAAATATGAGACCCTTTCGGTATGTGATGTAAAGAACAATAGTTTATTGATTAACTTACCAATCTACCTTGTCGGAGACTGTCAGGTGTGATTGTTAATGTAACATATCGGTTTTGGCTTGGTGAAATTGAAGCTATACATCTGAGATGATTCTTCTCTCTTTCGCATGAGCTGCTCACCTCTATGTTGTTTTCCTCTTTGCTGTTTTCATCTTTGTTGTTGTCATATTCACTGATCTTTCTGACGTTGCTAGGCTTTATGGGAAGAGACTCTTTCACTGCTAGGCTCTATGGAATGATAATATAACCAACGTGAAAGAACAATTTGGCTAGGTTCATGAATTAATATGAAAGAGTAATGAACCAAACAGAGCCAAACCAAATAAATCAAACAAAAAATCAAAAAGAAGGTTTTGCTTCAGCAAATAACCAAACTGAAGTAAACAGACAAAGCTCATAGAGTTAAACAAGATGTTACAATCAACGAAAACAAGATTCATGTTAATTTGATTTTAAACTTCAACAGAACTTGACTTAACTAAACAAACACTAAAATGTCCATCCCTATAGAAACAACAGTTCACTCAAGCCCATGTATTTTAATCATTTCCTTATGGGACCAAAATCTCTACCCCTAGAAAGAATAGTTCAATTAGAGAAGGTATGAGATTTCAGTTTATGCAGAAGTAAAATAAACTGAGATTTTTGAACACACCAGTGCATTTGCGTGTAGACTCGAAGTTGTGACAAAACGAGAGTGATCTGATGAATAATCTTCTTGTGTTTCTGGATTGTTCTTCTTCACTTTCTTACTCGGACCTTCTGTATCAGAAACACCCCACATGTTAAGACCTCAGATGCATTTATTTTGGTAATCACTTTGTCAAAATGTATTACCAAAGGAAGTAATTATGGACTACAATAAAACAGAAGAGAACTGAATATACCAAAATTGCCATGATCGTCACCATCATATGATGAAAAGCCTGCTTCTTGACTTAAGTGCGGATGCATTTTCATCGAAATGTTACCTGTGTCAGAAAAAGAAACCTCGGATTCAGGCTACGTTTAATCATATCAAATTTTAATTAAAACTTCTTTCCAGATTAACTCCAGTTTGCAGGATAAATATTATCAAACTTACCGATTCTGTCATGATCATTTTTGCTGCTTGGAGCCGTCACATCTCGAATACCAAAACAACTGTGTCCCAAATCTGAGATATGTAACATATTATCTCCTTCGTGTCTGAAAATGAAGGCCTCACGGGTTTGAGGATCATGAGCACCCAGGCTAATTGTATTACATGTAAAAGTTAATGCCATGAACTGGTTTTGGATTGTTGTAGTTGATTCTCTACATCTAGGAGGATACATTTTGCTCTCTTCTCTGTTGTTGTCTGCTTTTTTAGTCTTGTTTCCCCTGTTAGGTTCCATGGTCAGAGACTCTTTAGAAAATCCACTTTCCCTTCTACCATAGCTAGACTCTATACGAAGCAACTTGAGAATGGGAGTTGCGTTTTCCCATATTAACTCGAACGTGATGGAATCGTCCGTCTTTAAACCATTTGCTTTAGCAAATTCTTTCCAGCCTTTTCCCAAACTCATTCTTCCTCTTTTTTCTAGTAGAAGACTTGCTAGCCACTTTGCACCATCTTTACCTAAAAGAGTTATCTCCCCGGGCTTGTTCATGCTATTTTCCGTCATGAATTGCAGAGGTATACGCTACAAAATATATGAACAGAGAATGAATTTTTAAAAACACCTTCCTAAGGGATAAAATTGAACAAGAGTTAACTGTTGAACTTACCAGTCTACCATGTTTAAGACAGTCAGGTGTGATTTTTAATGTGAGAATGTGGTTCTGACTTGGTGAAGTTGAATCCATACATCTCATATGATGATTCTCTCTCTCCCATGAGCTGCTCTCATCTTTGGTGTTTTTGTCTTTGTTGATGTCATCTTTAATGATCTCTACTTTGCTACTAGGCTCTATGGGAAAAGACTCTTTCTCGCTTGCATCTAAACACTCTTCTCCTACTCTTGTCTCAGTGTTGTACACTTCAGGGCACAAACTTAGCACAGGAGTAGTATCTTCCCAATATAACCTGAGTGTAACAGATTCACCCGTCTTTAAGCCGTTTGCTTTAACGAAACTTTTCCATCCGTCTCCCAAAGTCATTCTTCCTCTGTTGCTTTCCGAGAGAAGATTCGCTAACCACTTTGAACCATCTTTACCCAACAAATATATCTTCCCAGGCTTGTTTATCCCGTTCTCCCTCGTGAATTGCATCGGAAGACGCTATAGATGATTTAAACTAATAGTCAAAAACCAATACAAAGTAGAATGAAAGAAACAAACATGTACAAGTGCTATAGATGATGACCTTACCAATCTACAATGTCTACCATCAACTGGTGCAAGTCTAAATGTTACAAACTGCTTCTCACTCGACGAATACGATGAAAAGATCTGTCGCGGACTCTTGCTACATTTCCTAGTAAGACCATTTGAGCTAGTCAAATCTTGTGGAAGATACTGCAAACACCAGTTTCCAAAGTATCATAATTAAAAAGCATATCAATTCAATGATAAAATAGCCAACATGAAAGAACACTTTGGTTTGAGTAGGAGAATAAACCAAATCAGAACACACCAAACAAAAATCAAAATAATACAAACGCACCAGTGCATCTGTGTGTTGACTTGAAGCAGTGACATGGGTAACAAGACAAGAGTAATCTGATTCTGTTTCATGATTGTTCTGCTTCACTTTCTTGTTTCTTTGAAACTCTGTATTATCAGTAACACCCAAAAATGTTAAACCTTGGAAGCTTTAATTTATCAAGATGAAGCTGTTCTTGAAACCAATCCCATCAAAGCTAGTTTAAAATCCCTAAAATTGCTCTAAAATTTGCAATTGTTCCTTACTTTACAGATTTAAATCGAATTATTCGGATTGGTCTCAAAGTTTAAGACAATTCGTAGAATTGATACTTACCGATGTTGTTGTCTTGATGATCTGCGACCTGAAACATCATATCTCCTTCTGGGTTGATTGGTGAGTCCAGAATTAGTGAATTTTGAGACGATGAACAGTCAAATCCTTAAGGAGAGTTGCAAATATTTTTTCTCCACCAAAAGGTTTTTTATTTTTATTTTTTTCTATTTATTTTAAGCAAATATTGATATAAAATAATTAAATATTGATAACGCTTTTAAAAAATAACTGAACTATTTATAGTTGGTTGTTATTAGAATGACACAATATTTATATAAAAAGTTTAAAAAACCTTAAACTTAAAATATGGCTAATGGCTTATACAAAAAATAATCAAATATAATGTTTATTTTAATTATATTTTATTATATTTAAAAATAAAAATATCAGAAAATCTAAATATAACTTTCTAATAATATATTGCACAACTAACATTTATTATGATACCATTTTCTACAAGTACCCTCTCTAGGTGTTCACTTTCAAAAATACTATTTTCAATGTACAAAGTGACTAAATTGCCCTCCTTTATTATAACCCATGATGAAAAAATGAATATTCTTTCCAACAAAAAGAATATTCCTTCCGAAAAATTTCCAGCCAAAAATTTTCGGCAAAAATTTTCCCGCCAAAAAATTCCGACAAAAAATTTTCCCGCCAAAAATTTTCCAACAAAAATTTTCAGCCAAAATTTTTCCGCAATTTCTTAAAAAAACCTTGTAAATATTTATAAATCCCTTAAAAAAACTTTTAAAAACCCTAGTAAATCTTTTAAAAGTCATCCAAAACCTTTCAAAACTTGAGTAAACCTTTTAAAACCATTGTAAATCATTTTATAACATTTATAAACACTTTTAAATCCCTTTAAACCACTTATAACCGTGATAAATCATTTAATAAAAACTTTTGTAATCTTCTAAAACCCGTTAAAAACCCTTGTAAATCCTTAAAACCCATTTTAAAGAACTTGTAATACCTTTAAAAACTTTTGTATACCCTTCAAAAACCTTTGTAAACTTCTAAAACCCTTTAAAACTTCTTGTAAATCCTTTAAAACTATTTTTAAATCTTTGTATGCCTTTAAATATACTTTTAGATCCTTTTAAAAACCTTTAAAAATCCTTGTAAATTTTTAAAATCCTTTAAAAATTCTTGTAAATCCTTTTAAAACTGTTATAAACTTATAAAACTTTTAAAAACCATTGTAAATCATTTAAAAACCATTTAAAAACCTTTGTAGGCTTCTAAAACTCTTTAAAAACCATTACAAATCTTTTAAAAACCATTTAAAAACTCTTGTAAATCCCTTTAAAAATCCTTGTGAACCCTTTAAAAGACCCTTTAAAAAATCTTGTAAACCCTTTAAAAAATTTTGGCGGGGAAATTTTGAAAAAATATTTTTTTTGCGGGAAACTTTTTGCAGAAATTCTTTTGGGGGAAAATTTTCTCGGAAAAATTTTTGGCGGGAAAATTTTGGCGGGAAAGTTTTTGGCGGGAAATTTTTAGGGGGGGGGAATTTTTGGAAGGAATATTCCTTCCTTTGGGAAAGAATATTCTTTCAAATAGGGGTAAAATAGCCATTAAAAATTAAGAGAGTGCAAAAATGAAAATGGTAAAAAAGAGGGTATTTTTAAAAGAGGGTATCGTAAAAAGGTTATTGGTATCAATTTCTCAAATAAAAATCATATAAAAATAAATTTCAAAACTATAATAGATTTTTAAAACCTAGATATTAAAAAATTAAGAACTTAAAAATGTAAAATTATTGTTAAAAACGTAATCAACCATTACTAGTCTCACTAAATTTGTTACTCTTTCATTTAATCACCATTTAAAATGATTAATTTAATTTTAATATAAATTATATATATATATATATATAAATCATTGAAAAAAATTAATAAAAATATTTTATTATGATATCCAATATACAAATATGTCATAGCATAAGAAAATATGTTATCACTACTCGTAGATCTATAAATCTGTTGTGAAACAACATATTTTTTGAAACAAGTAACAAAAGTGTCACTAGATAATTAAATTTGCCATAACTTACACAAAAAAGTTTTTTTTTTTTTAATTTTGTCATCAAAAGAAAGTCCTGAAGTAGCTCAAACGAACCAGCTCAACGGACAGTTGTTAACATACTTGACAAGCTGCGGAGAGAATCGTACATGGCGAGAAAGAGAGTCCGCTTTTACATTCAAATTTTGCTGAATAAGAGATAAAGAAAAAGTCGAAAATTCTTCCCTATCTGCTATTCGTCCAGGTATGCAGAAAAGACTGGTCATTCAGTAGGGGAAGACACCATCTTCACCAGGTCGAAACAGTCAGTACAGTAAGGAACGTAACATCTCTGAAATCATGTCCTATCATACATCGCATTGCCCATACCAGCACAAAAAAGTCTTCACGTATGTTATTTTAGAAATTTTTTAAAAAAACTTAAACAAATCTATTATTAAACGATAGATTTTTGGTTAAATTCAAAAATCTGTCATAACATTAAACAAATTTGTTATCACTAGTCGTCAAACTAGTAACTATAGTTTTGTAAAAAAAAACTGCACAATATGATAGTATGTGGTGTCTTCATTAAAAAAATTTCTGAATAATTCTTTTTTTTTAAATTAATAATTGTTTTTCAAATTTTAAATAGGTATTTAGTGATTTAATTAATATTTTATATATAGTTTGTGATTATATATTCAATTTTATTGTATTTTTATAAATATAGTTTTTTGGTGTTTTATTATTTTATTATTATATATTACATTTATTTTGATATTCTTTTTTTTTATCTCTGTTGTACCCTTTAGTAAATGTTCGCAAATGCCTCATTTCAACCGTTAAATCAATTATTTAAAAATTTTAATACCGCTTGAAGCTCTAACCGCATATTTCTATAAACTCTTGTAACTAGAACTGTTGTGTAAACCCATCAAACTTTTAATAGCATTTTGATTTTTTTTATTCATTAAATTACAGCATGACAAATACTATGTTTTTAGTGGTTAATCAAATCTGATGTGTATTAATTTTTATAATTCTATTGGTTTTATTTTAAATGATGTGTTATATCCCCCTTACTCCAAAAATATGCTGTGTCATCACACGAGAAAACCATCTTTATCCTTTTATTGTATTGACAAGGATCAAGTAAATATATTAAAAACTGTTAATTTACCAACAAATCATCCTTCTTATACTTTTGATATGGTTTAGTTTAGGATTCAAAGTCAGTTGTAATATCTTATTGGTCAACCATAAATTTAGTCACCAAAATCTCGTTTGACAAAAGTTCTAATTAATTAGTTCATTCATGCATGGTTGCGCTTAAATCTAGTTAATACTATAATTCAGTACTATTTATTCAATATTAACACCATAAAAAACATTTTCCACAAAAAAAAACTACTACAAATTGATGCCTTTATTTGAACAATTACTTTCAATCCAAATTATGAATCATCTAATATTTTTCATGTTAGTTACCGAAGCTTGCGTTTTTTAATAAGATAATGTTTACGAACAACCACGGTGTCTGTAGAACTCTCCAATATCATTGCCGTACTGGTAAACACAATTTAGGAATCCGATACGTAAACTACGACACGTTGGATATGTCTTCTTAAGCACGGACTTAACATGAGGTTTTCTAGTGAGGTTGAAGCATATCGTCCACGGTTAAATAATCCTCAATGTGGTTAACGACTTGAATATTTTGTCAAATTGGATGCAATATATTTAACAAAGAATAGTTCTCCACCAAAAGCAGTAAAAAAGTTGCATAAGTCAAAATAATGTGTTTTATTTTTCCTAATATTACTACGTTATTTTTCGGGTGTGTCAAATTATGCTCTATTTTCATATATCTTTCTGATTTGAATTAAGATCTCGGGTGCACAAAAAAAAAAACAAGAAACAAAAATAAAGAGAAATAATATAGGAGAATGCTCGTTTTAAATGTAGCCTCTCATCTTTGTTTATTCTTGGTGAAAATATTGTTAAGCGCTAGTCGGGCGTTCGAAGTCGGCCTAGCACATAAAAGAAAATCGAAAATCAAACGAAGATAAATTAGACACTAATTTTAGAGTTATTTTATTAAATTTAATAAAACCAATAAATATAATATATTAGTTATATGTATAATTCGATTTCTGTTCATAAATAACACAATATAAAATACAAAAGGATAATATTGGTTTCAAAATTATAGTAAATAAATGATACTGGTTTAAAAATTCAATTTGTAGAGAAAAAATTTGTCGAAACTTTTCTTTTTTGGAAAGCGTATTGCGGGAAATTTTTTTGTGAGAATATTTGGCGGGAAAATTTTGTCAACAATTTTTTTGCGGAAATAATTTTGGAGGAAATATTATTTTCTTATCATGGACTCTCACTAAAAGAAAGATAATTTAGTCATGATGTATATAGAATAAATTACTTTTGAAAATGGACAATAAAATATGTTATTTTTGAAAAATGTAAGAAAATAGTCTTTTTGCAAATTTTCATTAGTATATTAGAAATAGGTCTTTTATACCGGAACAAAAGAGCAACCCAGATCTAATCTTTAATATTATTATTTTTGGTTCGATTTACTAAGCTTTTATTTGATTAGTTTTAGTTTTTGGATAAGTAACTTGCAACACTGGACTTTTACGTACCGACCAACGAAGATGAAGACGCCAACCGAATATGAAATGAAAAGCTCAATGTGCGCAGAATGTTGGGTGTCCGGATGATCCAGGGTCATAAATCAGATTTATGACTCATAAATCAGATTTATGACTCATAAATCAGATTTATGACTCAGAAATCAGATTTATGACTCATAATATATTTTTATTTTATTATCGAAATAATATTTATCAAAACTAAGGAGTAAAATATTTTTAAAAAACACCAATGATATTTATTTTATGTCAGTAGAAGTTTATAAAAAAATATTTTTTCAATATTTACAATTTGAAACTGTAAGTACCAGTATTTTGATTATAAAAATAAAAAATATTACTTACCAAAAATAAAATATTATGTACCCGTATATTAATGGTGCCCCATTAATTAATATATGATACACCTATCGTGTGGGTAATGCCACTGAATGTGCGTATATGTGCCCTAGTAAGACAAATTTGTTATGTTTTCTCTTATATGCATAAATTAACAAAATAATATAATCTTTGTAGTTTAAGTTAAATCCATCGATTGTAAATGCATAGATATAGAAGAAAAAAAAAAATTATTCACAAAATAGATATAAGACAAAAATAGAAATAAGTCCGTAGAAAATTCAAATGCGATGGCCACATACATGCATGGTGGCTAATAAAAGTCATACGTAGCCCAATTTAATGAAGTAGGACACTTGGATCATGTAGAATTGTAACTCAACATGATGATGATGGCCAACTAAATTCAGAGAAAAGTAAGCATTACAATTTACAAACTCATCTCAAACATACCAAAAAAATATATGAACGTATGATTAGTAGATGTGTGCATGCATGGACGCATATATGTGTTTAGACATCAAAAGTAATACAAAATCCAATTAGAAATTTACAAGGATATCTGAATTTATCATTTGAATGTTACAAAACTAGATACATGGTAAAGAAGTCACCGACGAGAGCATAAGAACCAGATGAAACATACATCGATTTTATTCAGAGCAAGTAATTATTTATATATTGATTATTATTTGGTTTTGTTTGCTTCTATAGATGCATTGACTAACATTTTCATTCATGGACAGAAAATGACATTGTAGTTTGTTCCGGAGGTGCAAGTGAAGAGACTTGTAGGATCATCTTTAGGGTAACTATAGGCATCAGGACAACGTTGCTTGAAGAACATAGAGAGTGGTGTTGGTCCACAATTACCGGAGTTGCAACAATGTTCCTCCGTCTTAAGCATTGGACACGGTCCGTTGCAAGCACCATCCATTCTTAGTTGGCCAGGACATTGTCCTATGATATCTCCTGTACACCTATGCAATGGATGGATACAAAAATGGTTATTTCACACAAAACAAAAAATATAATATATATATGCTTAGTTATTGTTATGTTTTTTTTTTTTGTTTTGAATGTAATGTTAAATTATATTCAAAGAAAAAATAACGTTTTTCGAATGTATTGTTATGTTTTTGATTTACCTAATAACACGACTACATTGTCCAGATGCAGAACTAAACTCCATTGGAATATTGAACCCATCGATCACCGAAATATCGATGAAATCTTGGTTTGCATATTGTTTGAGAGCGTATTCGGCCAAAGTATTTGGTGCTCTTCCATAAGATTTGCATTCAAGAAGACCATTACAGTCTCCAGTTTGGCATCGACCTCTTCCAGAGGCATCGAAATTGCAATTGGTACGACCCCAAATCCGAGCTTGGATGGTCCCTGGATCACTAACAACGATCCATATATCGCCTCGGTTGAGCCGCTTTCCACCACCAGGTTTCCCTGGAGCATATGCGGCCGCCCAAACAACATATGGACAATTGTTCCTCACTTGGAACGAAGCTGCTTCTGCTGTGATCACAAAGTAAATGGTCAGAAATGCAAAGAAAAAGAATATGGGGAGGGTTTTGTGATAAGCCATTTTTTGAATACTTAGTGGAGCTTGCTTCTTTGCAAGACGGTGATCTTGTGTTTATATGGACATGTCAACCAAGATTTAATATTGTAATTTAGTGGATAAGAATTATATGGTGGAAAATTTATTGATTTGCCATGATATAATATTTGGAAGCCATCGTAATTAATAAGTTGGATATATATATATCTAAGATATTAAGCAACAAAGAGTTGCATACATATTTAGAAAATCATTAGAAAGTGACAAAAAAGTTGAGATGTGTGTTTGTGTATATGGACTTCGTGCGTGTGAGTGAATAGTGAGTAATCACATCTAAGCGTATACAAAAACAAAACATGTTCAATATATTAGATTCATACGTAATATTTTTCGAACATTAACCGAAGTAGTCTTATAAATTAAAATTTTGAAATCTTACCAACTAAAAGCAGTTCTATCGTTTATAAACCATGATAGTTTCTCAAAAACATAAATTTATATTATTTTAATTGTTTAATTGTTGTATATGTAACATGTGTCCAAAAAAAAGATGAGAGCCGTATCTATCATTCCTCATTTGAGATACGATCTCTGCCATGGATCTTTGATCATTAAAATATACAGCAATTATATTAGTATATGCAAAACTTGAGATAGAAAAATGGGAATGATCGATTACTAATGAAGCAGCAAAGATATATTCAAGAAACATACATGGGTATGTATTGGGTTGTATTTGCGAGTAAATGGTATAAAATGTGTTGATCAAATCAAGTACATGGAGGTGTATATAGAACTTTATTAGGGTTTGGAATGTTATGGATTACATTTGAATATTTTGAGAGGGGGAGTTTAAAATGAAATTTTGAACTAGTCCGATCCAACACTAAGATTCATATATATGTAAGCTAATTCTGTATCTTAAAAACTGTTTAAAATTTTCTTATAATTACCTTTTTAATATTTTCATTCACTACTAATTTTAAATTATATATACCCAAACACGAGGTTATTGTATGAGCAAAATTTCATTTAAAACATAAATTTTTTAAAAGTAAAAAGTAAAAAACATTCCTTTTGATTATTTTTTGGTATACATTACTCAACATTCTTTGTTTGTACCTTTATAAAATGAAATCAACCTTAATTTTACTATTATACATTTTAAGGTCATTTGTACATGTGCAGCAAATACCTTTTGCAAGAACATTTTCGGTTAAAATTTAAAAATATATATTTTTAACATCAATTAAATTGAAGATATTTTAAAACATGAGAAATTGTCATTAATACGACGTGGATATTATTTTACAGAAAAATGTATAATTTATTATTGAGAAATTGATACAAATAACCTTTTAATGATACCCTCTTTTAAAAATACTCTCTTTTAAAAATACTCTTATTTGCCATTTTCAGTATTGCCCTCTCTTAAATTTTAATGGTCATTTTACCCATAGTTGAAAGAATATTCTTTCTCAAAGGAATATTCCTTCCAAAAAATTCCTCATAAACTTTTCTCGCCAAAAAATTTCCCGGCAAAATTTTCCCGCAAAAAAAAAATTCCGAGAAAACTTTTTCCGCAAAAAAATTTCCATATTAGTGATTTTACTACTTATAACACCGAGACAACAAAATAACAAACACTTAACAACTAGTTATAGAGTACAAACTTGCCGATTTGTCCTATCACTAATCCACAAACACATCAGGTCCAAAAATGCTAGTGCGGCTGCTATCCAATTAAGCATATGCTCTTTTTGTTCTAACATAGACTCAGCGCGTTGACGCGATGTAGGAACGGGAACATGTATTTCTCCACAAATTTCCTCGAGACCATTTAAGTTTTGACTTCCAAACTGTGTACTTCATGGCAGCAATCCTTGTAAATGATAGTGGGAGAATTTGATGTTTGATAGATATGAGAAGTTCCAGAGACTTTGAGATTATCAAACAAGAAAATTTATTTAGTGAGAGGTCGAACGTCTCGAGCTTTGTAATATTCGCCAACGATGATGGGATTTTCCCTGTGAATCCATTGCCTGACAAGTTGAGAAGACACAATTCGCTCATCTATTTATGGTTTTGAATGATGAGAATGGAGTTTTCTTCCATAAAGGGCATCATTTTATTGTAATCATCAACAACTATTTCCATGAGTTCTCTAGTTTTTTATCCACATATTAACTTTAATTTGATCAGCTAGTTTATGTTGTGTTTAAGCTGTTTAAGATGGATACTTAATTAGTTAGCAGCCCATTTCAATAATTATTTTAGGCCTCGATAAATCACAAATTGTTAATTTTTTTGGGTAAAGAAACTTTGTTTTCTCTTTTCTTTCGGGATTTTTTAAATATATTTGGTTTAAAATTATGGGCCAAGGACTTTCCCCTATGATACAATATAAGTTTTGTTATTAAACTGATAATAAATTGATTTTTAAATGTTGCAATAGTAAACAATTATTTAAAATCATTTACTTCACATAAGATTTAATTCAACATTTGATTTGGAAAGTCCACTATAATACATTATTTTTCTTTTGATTTGATACCACAAGTATTTTGATTTTGATTTTGATTTTTCTTCAAGTGATTCATTAAAAATTTACTTAACTCCAAAATATTTAGGAAGTCTCAAATAGTGACAATTCTGAACACTTTTATCGTATTATTTATATATTAAAATAATTATATGTTTAAATGAAAATACAGTAATATAATAAAATGTACGAGATACTCTATATAAAATACTTTCAGTTATAATATCCAAAATAATTGCCATAATAACTTAGTATGTAAACCCGAACTTGTTTGGAAATATGATAAATAATAAAAATTTGTTGACCAAAACTATAGTAAAAATTTCTGTTATGGAAAACTCATTACACAATTTTGACTACATAACTCGGAATATATATCTAATAAAATTTTGTTGACCAAAATTATAGCAAAAATTTCTGTTATGGAAAACTCATTACACAATTTTGACTACATAACTCGGAATATATATCTAATAAAATTTTATTGACCAAAATTATAGTAAAAATTTCTGTTATGGAAAACTCATTACACAATTTTGAATTCATAACTTGGAATCAATAAAATTATGAATAAGTATATGTATATAGATATGTATATGTATAAGTATATGTATATGTATATGTATATGTATATACATATATATAGATACTAAGATACACACTCAAGACAACCAATATAAGCTCTTCCTCGATAACAAAATATTAGAAAAAAATCAAAGGTAAATATACATCTCTTTTAGTTTTGTTATATTCTATTTACATATACTTTTGGGCATTCTGAAAAACATTTTTTAAGTTCTTATATATGCTATGTATATATTAATATATATGTCTCTAATACAAGTTTTTGAAATAGTGATTTTGAACCTTACTTTCCTTTACATTTTTTTTTTGACGACTATTCAGAAAAATGACAACCAAGAAATTTCTATCTCTTTTAATGGTCATTGCCCTGATCCTTATGTCCATGGTTGCAGGTAACATATTTATTTGTTTGCGGTTATATTGTATGAACACCAAAAAATATGTGGGTGGAGTTAAAACTCATTTAAAACATTCAAATATTTTTTAAGTGGGTGGACTTAAAAATCATATAAAGAAGCATCTCGAATTATTATCTTTGACTATCTTTTGTTACTTTTTAATTACCATGTATTTAAAATGTTGTTAATGTAAATGATCCAAATAGGTGATCAACTTCAAGCTACATGCCGTATTGCGGGGGCTTGTCAAGGCGAAAAGGCATGCATTGCAAGGTGTGCAGCCTTGGGTACCACGAGAGGCGGTGCTTGTACCAAATTCTTAGGTGATTTGTATTGTTGCTGCTGGGATTGATTCCTAATTTAATATGTACTCTATATTCATAACTCAAACAATATGTATTTGCATCAGATATGAATAAAAGTATGTGTTGACCAAAAAAAATATGATCTCATCCTAGCTAGTCCTAGGCACAATCTAATTAAAAAAAAAATTGATGTGTAAACTTAAGAATCAAAGGATGAGTTTCTCTAGGCAAGTAATTGAAGTCTCTTTATTATCAACGAGTCCAAATTAGGCTATTAACAAGATGAATACAAGATTAGGTCGTCGACCTCAAACAAAGATGGTCGAGGCCGAACTTGAATGAACTAGCTAAATTTAACGAGAGAATAACTCTACAAGATGCTGCTAACACAACCATTTCTTTGTCCTTTGTAATACTTTTGGAATGTTATTTATATGCTTTTTATGGGTATCGTATTCTCCATATTTATAGGAGAATGTGGGCGGTTGGCTCAGCGAAATGATGGGATGACCCTTCCTCTTTCCCAAGGCGTCGGGCCGGTCAAGTAGGCTTTTCCTATTGGCTTTGGAAAGAGTTGTGGATCGGATCGAGAATAGGGGTGAAAAAGTATGTGTTGAAGTGATTCATTAAAAATTTGTCTGATTACTAAACATTTAGGAAGTCTCAAATACTTACCATTTTGAACACTTTCATCGTATTATTTATATATTAAAATAATTATATATTTCAAATAAAAATACAATAATATCATAAAACCTACATGATACTCTATATACAATACTTTCAGTTATAATATACAAAATATTTGCTGTGAATTTATATTTTAGTATAAATTAATAACTTAATATGTAAACCCAAACTTATTTGGAAATATGAAATTTTGTTGACCAAAATTATGGTAAAAATTTCGGTTATGGAAAACTCTTTACACAATTTTGATTTCATAACTTGGAATATATAAATTTTGTTGACCAAAATTATAGTAAAACCTTCTGTTATGGAAAACTCATTACACAATTTTCATATCATAACTTGGTATATATATATGTGTATATATTTATATGTATATATAGATACTAAGATACACACTCGAGACAACTAAAATAAATTTTCCTGCGTAACAAAATATTAGAAAAAAGAAAGGTAAATACATTTGTTTTAGTTTTCTTATTATATGTATATATATTTGTTATATTCTAACCACATATATTTTTGGGCATTCCGAAAACCATTTTTTAAGTTTTATATATTCTATGTATATATAAATATATATATATCTCTAATACAAGATTTTCAAATAGTGATTTTTAACCTTACACTTCTTTACAATATTTTTTTTGAAGGCTATTCAGACAAATGACAACCAAGAAAATTCTGTCTCTTTTAATGGTCATTGCCCTGATCCTTATGCCCATGGTTGCAGGTAACATATTTATTTGTTTGCAGTTATATTGTATGAACACCAAAAAATATGTCTTTCTCTATCTATAATCCATTTAAAATATTCAAAATATTTTTTAAGTGGGTGGTGTTAATTTAAATTATTATAAATAAGCATCTTGAATTATTATTTTTGAATATCTTTTGTTAATTTTTGATTACCATGTATTTAAATTGTTGTTAATGTTAATGATCCAAATAGGTGATCAGCTTCAAGCTACATGTCGTATTGCGGGGGCTTGTCAAGGCGAAAAGGCATGCATTGCAAGGTGTGCAGCATTGGGTACCACTAGAGGTGGTGTTTGTACCAAATTCTTAGGTGATTTGTATTGTTGCTGCTGGGATTGATTACTAATTTAATATGTACTCTATATTCATAACTCAAACAATATGTATTTGCATCAGATATGAATAAAAGTATGTGTTTGACAAAAAAGTTTATGATTTCATCCTAGCTAGTGCTATGCACAATCTAATAAATAAAACAAATATTGTTGATGTGTAAAGTTAAGAATCAAAGGTTGAGTTTCTCTAGGCAAGTAATCGAAGTCTTTTTATTATCAACGAGTCCAAACTTAGGCTATTAACAGGATGAATACAAGATTAGATAATCAATCTCAAAAAAAGATGACCGAGACTGAACTTAAATGAAACTAGACTAGCTACATTCGACAAGAGAATAACTCGACGAGATTCTGCTTACACATTAATTTCTTTATCTTTTTTACTACGATTGGAATGTTTTCAGATGCTTTTGGGTGTCGTATTCTCCATATTTATAGGAGAATGTGGGCACAGTTGGTTCGGCGAAATGACGGGATTACCTTTCTTCTTTCTCAAAGCGTCGGGCCGGTCAAGTGGGCTTTTCCTATTAGCCTTGAAAATAATTGTGAGCCGGATCCAGAATAGGGGTGAAAACCCATCCTAACAAAAACAATAAAAAGAAGGAACATCCAAAAATCAAATGTACTATTATTCATGATACAAATACAATAGAATGAATATTTTATCAAAAGTATAGTAGTAGAAGTATAATTGCAATAATCAATTTTTTCCTGGTCAAATGGAAAAAGGTCTCAAACAATTAATCCTAATAAAAATTCTGGGGCAAAATAGTTTTTTTTTTTTCTTTTTTTCTTTCTAACACCTAGCTTTTGGGTTTAGTCCATTTCATGTTATCTATGGCTTGGGGCCTCATTCTCCCACTTGCGCTAATGACATTATACGGCACACATAATATTATTTAGTCTTATATACTTTTCTATATATATGGAGGAGGAGACCATTGTAAGCTCAGTTTTGCATCTGAAAAAATCTATAAAAATTGTTTGTAAACTAACCAATGTATCAGGTACAAGTGCTAATGTCACATATCAGTTTTGAATTAGTGAAGATGCTCATTACACCTCTCCTCTAAGTTGTTCTTGTATTTCTAAGTTTTATTTCCATTGCTCAGGTTATGTTGAAATAGACTTTTCCTCTTCGCTAGCATTTGAGCAACACTCTCCTTGTTGTCTTTTATCACTTGTGGACTCTACTATACTGAACAAACTGAGCATAGGAGTTGCATCTTCCCAAATTGACTCCAACGTGAAAGATACACCAATCTCTAACCCATTTGCTATTGCAAACTCTCTCCAGCCTTTTCCCAAACTCATTCTCCCTCTGCTTTCTTGTAGAAGATTTGCAATCCACTTTGTACCATCTTTTCCCAACAAAGTCATTGTCCCAGGTTTGTTCATATTATTTTCTCTCATGAATGATAATGGAAGACCCTGAAAAAGATTCAAATGGAGGAGGATATAACTAACTAACCTTCTAAAACACGATTCGGTTGATGAACTCACCAGTCTATTGTTGTTGAGGCTGTCATGTGTAAGTGTTAGTGTCACAAATTTGTTTGGGATTCTGTATTCCTTACAGAACAAACTGAGCACAGGAGTTGCATTTTCCCATTTTAACTCCATTGTGAAGGACTCACCTATCTTCAATCCATTTGCTTTAGAAAAATCTTTCATGCCTTTTCCCAAACTCATTCTTCCCGAGCTTTCCCGTAGAAGATTTACCGTCCACCTTACACCATCTTTCCCCAACAAAGTTACCATCCTTGGGTTGTTCATGCCATTTTCCCTCACAAACGGCAATGGAAGATACTGGAAATATATAGAGTAAGGAATTAAAATAGATACATTTCTGTTTTGAAACAAAACTATCAAGAGTTATAGTGTTTTGATGAACTCACCACTCTACTGCTTTTAAGGCTGTCATTTGTAAGAGTCAAAGTCACAAATCTATTATGGTTTGGTGAAGTTGAATCTCTATAACTCTGACTACTATTCTTGTCTCCTTGTGTTCTTCCATTGTCAGATTTTATAGGCAAGACACTGAGCAAAGGGGTTTCCCCATTACTCATTAGCTTGAACGTGAAAACACTTCCTTCATTTTTGCCATTTTCGTCGCAGAAATGCTTCCAACCTCGGCTTATGTAACAAGTATCAGATCCCTTGTTGAACCGCAGGTCCATTGCCCATGATCTTTCCTCTTCATCTTTCAAGACAATCTTGCAGCTTTTTCTTTTAAGATCATTAGAGCTTGTAAAATCTTGTGGAAGATACTGCAAATAAAAGAAAGGGTTCATGCTTTTTCACCATTTCCTCATGATACCAATGGTTCCAAAATGAACTAGACTGAACAATATGCTAAAACAGAAGCACCCAGCTCTATGAAAAGATTTGACTCAAGACTCATTTGCATATCACTTAGACAACAAAAGGGGTTAAGAACAAGACATCTCTTTATTAGACCAAGCTTTAGAACACTTTGTCTAGTTTCATGACTCTAACAAACTAATCAAGCTGCACACATCTAAGAACAACAGGAGTATTAATTAAAAAACGCACCAGTGCATCTGTTTCAAGACTTGAAGCAGTGACATGGGCAACAAAACAAGAGTAATCAGGTTCTGTTTCAGGATTGTTCTGCTTCAGTTTCTTGTTTCTTTGAAACTCTGTTTCAGAAACACACAAAAATGTAAAACCTTTGATGCTCTAATTTTCAATATGTAGCTGTTCTTTAAGCAAATCAAGTAATACAGAGGAGAACCAATATAACACTAAATTGCTTTAAAATCTCTAAAATTACTTCAAAATTTGCAGTTGTTCTTTACTTTATAGATTTAAATCGAATTATCAATTAATTGATTGAGCCAAGTATAATTTGATTTTCTTACCGATGTTGTTGTCCTGATGATCTGAAGTTCCAATCATCATATCTCCTTCTGGGTTTGATCGGTGACCCAAGCGCAGTTCATAGAAAGCTCCGGAATTTCTCAAACAATGGCATTTTCTTTTTAATAATAATTTTATTAAATGGATGATATGATTTATAAGCAAAAACGTTTATTATCAACTTAATTAAAATGATATGTAGTTAGCAGATAATTAAATTAATTTAATTAAGAAAACATATCTTGTTTTTAAATTAAAAGTAGTTAAATACCTTTTTCTTATGTTCCTTTTTAACAGATTTCTTTCTCAATATGCTTTTATCTGCAAAAAAAATTTATAAATTTTATTTTAATAGCTAGGTGGAAATGAAAATCACAAATAAGTTGAATATAGGTTGAACTTGGGCATGTCAATCAGGCTAACCCGGCCCAGCCCGGTCTGAAAAATATCCGAACCTATATTTCAAAGCCCGGTCCAGCCCTAACAGGGTTTTTGGGCTTTTTTGGACTTTACTTACCGATAAAAAAAATCAATTTCTAAGTTCATAATAGTTTTTTAAAAAAATATTTAAAGGTCTACTATAAAAATAATGCATCAAATTTTAAATAACTTATCAATATTCAAGAAAACTAACTTAATTTCAGAGAAAAAATAAAAACCAAATAAATTATTTACACTTTAACTCAATAAATCATGCAACTAAAATACTTCAAAGTAGATGATAGAGTCAAAATTTAATATATTTTGATGATTTCAAAATCAAGATACTTATATATATTTAGTTTTAGCTTTGTTCAGTTTTGACATATATAAATAATAGAAAATACCATAGGTAAAGATTTTAAAAGTATTAAGTAAGGCTAGTAAGTAAATATGAAAACTAATTCATTAATCAAATCTTCCAATCAAACTAAAATATTAGAAAAATTAAAAATATATTTGTTGAATGGCTTTTCAGGTCGGCTCGAGCCCGACCACGTTAATCCTAAAAAAAAGCTAAACCCGAATAGGCTTAACCCAAAAGGCCTAGTTTTTTCTGGACATATATATTAAGCCCGAACCCGATGTTTTTCACGGCCGAACCGAACTAACATGTAGGCTTTAGCCCTAATTGACATGCCTAGTTGAATTATAAGTCATGATTTGATCTTTGTTTTTGTAGGTTCTTGTTGCTATTAAGTTGGGCTGCTTTGTGTTTGGGCTTTGTGGCCATCATGGACTCGCTAAAATACTCTCTTGGAGATGGTCTTAGACATGAAGGCTAGAGAAACATATAGGAAAACAAACCATAAAACTATAGTCCAAAGATAAGAGCACCCTTAATGGTGAGCTCTTAAGGTTAGTTTTTAGAATTGTTTAGTATAAAAATTTAAGATTTTCTTAGAATTGTTTTTTATATAAGGGACATTTTTTAATCTAAAATTTTCCTAAGATTCTATTAATAATGTTGGTCTTAGATAATTAAAATCGTATATGACGGCTATTTTCAGCTCTACGTAAATGTCGTGGCACCGGGCACGCGGCAAAAAGAAATTATCTGTGAAAATAAAACTCAAAATAAAATAAATAAAAATCTTTAAAAACATCTTGGTATATGACCAAAAAATAAACTCAAAAATGAAATAAAAATAAACCAATTGGTATATGACCATTTTGTAAAAAACATCTTTTTTTTTTATTGAAATAATATAAAATTATATTCAAGAAAAAAAAATCGCTTTTACAACTCGTGCAATGGGGAGATCAAAACATTTGAGTTATGAAAGAAACTAAGATTTAGATGCTAGTGTTGAGAGGTGAACCAAAGTTGCATTCCTTTAACATACACTCTTTAAGTCTTGATAACACTCTTTAAGTCTTGATAACATGATATGCATATTTATTAGCCAAGTATCTTTAACTCGACAATCAAACAGAAACTTAAACATTATTTAGGTTTTATGACCTAGATTTGGGTTTAAACTGAAGTACCGGAGTTGCGTCAGCTCTACGCATGATGAACTCTAAAGAAAAGGATTCTCCAATCTTCACTCCATTAGTTTCACAGAAGTTTTCCCAACCACAACCTACAGCTACCATTCCATCTTTTGACAGTAGAAACCCACACCACGACTCAACTTCATTTCTTCCCCACATAACTATTTTCCCAATCTTGTTGATTCCGTTATCTTTCATGAATTTTCTTGGAAGCCACTGCAAAAAAATATTTGAACAAACACTCCTCGTTAATTAGTACTGATTCTATATATAGTTCAAGCTAAGAACGAGCCAAGGGTGTTCTTTAATAAGCTTACCAGCGTAGAAGCTTTGACATCAGCTGGAACAAGTGGTAACACCACTACTCGGCGGTTTTGAATTAGTGATGATATTAATGGACTGGTAGGCTCCTCTATGTTCTGGTCTTTCTCAAGTTCTTTTCCATCGTCCCGGTTCGGTTCAGTAACCACTCGGTTGTTTTCGGTTGGTGGCTGTAATGGACTTCTCGGCTCCTCCATGTTGTTGTCTTTCTCAAGTTCTTTTCCATCGTTCCGGTTCGATTCAGTAACCACTCGGTTGTTTTCGGTTGGTGGTTTTAATGGACTTCTCGGCTCCTCCATGTTCTTGTCTTTCTCAGATTCTTTTCCATCGTTCCGGTTCGGTTCAGTAACCACTCGGTTGTTTTCGGTTGGTGGTAGTAATGGACTGATCGGCTCCTCCATGTTCTTGTCTTTCTTAGGTTCTTTCCCATCGTTCCGGTTCGGTTCAGTAACCACTCTGTTGTTTTCGGTTGGTGGTAGTAATGCACTGATCGGCTCCTCCATGTTCTTGTCTTTCTCAGGTTCTTTTTCATCGTTCATGAGCGGTTCAGTAACCACTCTGCTGTCTTCGGTTGGTGGTAGTAATGCAGTGATGATCGGCTCCTCCATGTTCTTGTCTTTCTCAGGTTCTTTTCCAACGTTCGGCTTAGTAGAAACAGTAGACACTTTCTTGCTAGCTCTTGTATATTTCTTTCTGCTTCTCTTTATAGGGATATTGGACTTTGTTTCAGTCAGCTTGAGTATAGGAGTTGCATTTTGCCAAATACACTCGAATGTTATGTGTTCACCTTCCTTCAAATGACTTGCTTTAACGAACTGTCTCCATCCTCTAGTTAGACTCATTCGTCCTAGGTTTGATGTTGAGTACTCCCGTGATAGAGTTGCCAACATCCTCGTACCATCTTTTCTAAGTAGTGTTACCATCCTTGTTTCAATGTCCAACCCATGTTTTCCCAAGAAGTCCGCTGGAATATACTGAAAAAAAAATATATATGTGAAAGGAGAATAAAATTATATATTGCAATACAACTAAACTAAACACATGCAAGAGTGTTTCATGAACTTACACATCTTCTGTTGTTCATACTGTCATATGTGAGTCTTACAGTCACAAACTTATCCAGGCCTTCTGAAGTTTCATAACTCAGAGTAGAATTGGAAGGGGAGAAAGTGAGCAAAGGCGTTTCCCCGCGGTTCGTTAGCTCGAACGTGAACACATTTCCGGCCTTTTTGCCGTTCTCATCGCAGAAATGTCTCCAACCTCTGGTTATGTAAAAACAACCAGAGAATTGGTTGAACTTTAGATCCAGTTCCCATGAGTTATTACTTCCATCAGTTAAAACAATCTTGTGGCAGGTCTTATTCAGAACACTAGAGTATGTGTAATCTTTTGGAAGATTCTACAAAACAAACAAAAAGGGTTCAAACATAATTTTCAGCCTTTCCTCATTACACAAACCTTTCATCAAAAGACATTTTGTTATCGAAATACAAGAAAAAAACAAGTTAAATCTTTGAAATTTTCATAAATATTGTATATATTATTCATTTATTACCAAGCAATATATTATATTGTAATAGCTATAACAATCTCTAGTATCACTTTCACAACATACAATATGAGGCAAACCTAAGCATATATAGCACGGATTTCAAAACCAAGTTCTCTTATTAGTCCCTCAATACATGCGATTATAATCAACTAATTAACCCAAGTACACATCTTTTGATATCTTATATATGGTTCTAGCTCTTAATGGATTGATAATATGTCACCATTCACCATATATATCAGATAAACACAAGGCCAGAATATAAATTTCGGTATAAACCAAAACCGTATTATTTAATAAACAAGTTTTCACCTAAACTAAACAACAATCAAATCTGAACCACAATGAACAGTTTCTAGAAAACATCATTTCATCTTATAGCATGTGAAATTTGTTAAGTCACAGTATTTATATATCGTTCAATGAATGACATAACCAAACCACTTTCATCAGGCAATAACAATTCAAGAAAACGTTTGTAAGAAACCTCACCAGACTATCTGCTTTCAGATTTGCATCCGTGACAAGGACAAAGAAAGAGTTGTTGTCGTCCGATGAAGACGAACCAGCTTTGAATTCCGATTTGTTCGTCCTCACTTTTTTCCTTCTCCCAAGCACTATATCATAAAAAAAAACCAACAAGTTAATTAAACCCAGATATACAGATACTATAATCTTAAACTCATAATCAAACTAAGATAAACAGAAGTGATGATGATGATGATGATGTAACCCGTATTGTTGTCCTGATGAGCAACACCTTCTTCTGTCTGATGATTCCTCTTCTTCGAGATGTTGTTACCTGTGTAGCACATGTAAAAACCATCTCACACAAGTGTTCGATTATCAAAATACATTCAGATCTGGCTCATGTCTTCGTAGATAAAAAAAAAAACCAAACTTACCTGTCCGATTACGATCAGTACTACTGTTGCTGGAGCTTGGTATCTGTCGAGAGTCGCATGCACTGACAGTAAACACCATCTTTGCCGAAACGTTTTGCTGGTCGGAGTGAAAAGCTGAAAGACGGAAATGAAATTTGTTGTTGTTGTTGTCTCAATGATGTTTAAACCAAACCAACCAAGAAAAAAACAAAAGCCCTAAATGATAAAGATAAGAAGGAATCCTATTTTACCTTTAGAGAGAATGCAGTTTATAGAAATTGAAAGCTGGGCGCGTAGACTGTAATAATTAAGAAGTAATCTTAATAAATTATTAAATTTGTGAAACAAATTTAACCAAATAGATTTGATTAATGGGTTTTTCTTTTTTTCTCATTGGTTTTTTGGGCTTTTAACATATGTTTATAATATCATATTTATATTAAAAAAATATGATATGCATTTATCTTTATTTTCTTTATACTATATATACAATAGCAATAAGAAATAAAGATTTGATGATAAAGTACTTTAAGAGTATATGAGTTGTCCATTTTTTATTTCTGTAATATGTATGGCATAATAACTTATAATTTCTTTCTGTTTTTTTCTTCTTCTTTTCACTGTAATATACATAATGAGTCAGATTTTTTTTTCTATATCATATATCTATATGGCTTTTTCACATCATTTAAAGTAAAATGTGATCATCAAAATAATCTAAATATTGACTAAAACTCAAATTATTTTAAATATAGGTTTTAATGCACCTCCTTTATCTTTATGTTTTAAGTAAATTTTAGTCAAAAATTTATAAAATAAATCTTACTTTTAGGTAATAAGTAAATGACAAAATATAATTAAAAGATAGTAAATTTTTTGACTAAAATTAGCTTGTATCTATTAAAAATCAAGAAGATTTATTAAATAACGCTTTTATATATAAACAACAAACCGCATAAATCACATCTTATCATTTCCAAATCTCCCGCGTAAATCTATAAATAAATAACACCGTTGATCACCTACTAGAAGAAGAAAAAGAACCTAATAAACACACCAAATTTTTCTGAACCCTTTCTTTTGTGAATCCTTTCTCTTCCAAAAATCACAAACAATGGATTCAAGAAGAAACCAAGACAAAATATCCGGTTTACCTGATTTCATCCTTGCTTTGATCATCTCTACTCTGCCTTTGAAGGAAGCTGTGAAGGCAAGTCTTGTTTCGAAGGGCTTGAACGATCTTTATCGTAAACGGTGTGTGAATAACATCGTTTTCAACGAGTCCGAGTTCATGAAATGTTATGCTCCAAACGATGAAAAAACCAAAAGGGTTACTAGGGTTTCTTTCGTTTACTTTATGCTTGGATGGTTTTCGAGACTTTCGGATAAAGCCATCGAAAGTTTCGAACTTTATATATCCAAACCGGTGGGTTTCGAAACACAAATCAACTCGCTCATGGAATTTGCAGTTTTCAAACAAGTCAAGAATCTAATTCTTGATTTCTCAGATCCTTCTTGGACTACCAATAATGAAGCAAGGGTGGTTCAATTGCCTGAATGTTTTTACAATCTAATAAACCTAGAGTCGCTTAAACTATTGGCTTGCGGGTTTGATCCATCGAGGCTCAGGAGACCGGGTTCGCTAAAAGTTCTCTCTTTTGGTTGGATCCAACTCAGACAAATCATGTCTTTGTTATCAAGATCTCCTATGCTCGAGAGTCTAAGCATTCAGAACTGCTGGGACGTCGGTCTAGAAGCGATAACCGGGTATAACAGCCGGTTAAGAGAATTGGTATTCGAGAATTGCGGTTTCTCTGTGGCTTCTTCAACACTCGACTTGCCCAATATTCTGATCTTCAAGTACTCTGGAAAAGTTCATTTCTTTGAGTTCTTGAGAGTGAATAGGGAAATGAAAGAAGCATATTTGGATTTTGGAGCAGAGACAGCATACAATGAAGAGACAGGAACACAACTCTCTGGTCTCCTTTATGATCTATCATCCGCTACAACATTAACGGTCTGTCCTTTTCTCATTCAGTTGGTTCAATTTGGAAAAGATCCGGTTCGACTAGGAGAACCAATGGAAACTCGACATTTGGTACTAAACACAAATATGCATCCGAATGAGTTCATTGGAATAAGACTCTTGATCAAAAGCTGTCGGGAGTTGGAAACTCTCACGTTCCAAATAGTTGCTCCTAGGCCTGTTCCAATGATAACTCCACCAGTGTTCGATCCAGATACATATTGGAAGTTCAGAAACAGCCATGCGTGTTTGAAGGAGACGTTGAAGGTCGTGAAGGTGAGGGATTTCACTGGTGGCATGTACGAGTTACTTATGTTGCAGTTCTTGTTTCGGTGTGGTCTTGTGTTGGAAAGGGTTGAACTTTATTTGCCTAAGGGATTGGGAGGAATTGAAAAGCGTTTGGCACTTGCTGCAGCTCAAGAGGTTGGGATGACGTTCAAGGCTGCTTCGGTGCATTTGAGGATTTTTCTCCGTAACGTTTGAAAAATGTTTCAAATGTTTTCAAGATTCATGCATGAATCAATGAAATGGTCGCTCATGGATTTGAGTGCTTGTTTTTTTTTTCGGTTTTAAGTTGTTTGTGGAATATAAAAAAATAAAATAAAAAGATTTCTAATAAATATGTAATGATTATAAAATATGTAATAAAAACCATTTCCGTGAACAAATTCACTTGCTTGTTTTTTTTTTCTTTAACATTCATGCTTGCTTGACATAAAAAAAAAAGATATGTTATGGATAGGCTTTAGATGGATTTGGGCCTAAATTTACAATGTTCCAAAAATTTTAATGGGTAATTATATGCTTTTAGGCCTTAATCATTTAGAAATGTGGCCACCTCACCGAACATGCTTTTATCATATGGTTGATAAAGATTTCAGTGGTCGATGATGACGATTTCAGTCGCCGGTGAACGATTTCTTACCTCGCTGGTCAAATGCTTTTGTTTTGTCGATATGAACGAGAGAGAAGATTTTTTTTGTATTTGGCTTTTCTTTTTTCTTTTATATTTTTTACTTCAACCATTCAGCTTTGGACACGTCACCGTCTCTTCAGCTAATAAAAACCTCTTCTTTAGGAGACGGTTCTCGGTTATTTAACTGATTAACCATTTAATTTTATTCTGTTTTTGGCTTAAGAGACTGATTAAAACCGTGTGTTGTGGCTGCTCTAAGGCTGCAAGAGATTTTCTCTAAATTAGTTGTCGTTTTTAGGCATGTTTAAAAATCATAATTTTACGATAATTAATAGTATATTATTTCATTTGATATCATCAATTCATAAGCTAAACGAACAGAGAGATAAAGATTGGAAAAATCTATCAAAAATCTCTATTGCAAACATAAAACTACAACTAATTTGAAACAAAATAACTTCTAAGTCAACAAATAACTTGAGAAGATGAACTCTGACTTCCCAAATCAAAACTCCAAGACAAAAGAAAGGACTCATCCATCTTAACGCTGTTAACCTAAACTCATTGTTCCTCTATTGTCCATCAGTAATGACGTCGACCAGAGCTTGTGGAAGTTACAAGTTTACTTGTGAGTGGAAGTACTGTTTTGGCTTGTTGTTGAGAAACATATTCTTGTTTCATAGATTGGCTTATATCCTCATTGGTAGGGTTCTTCAACACTGGCTTTAAAACACTTTCCTTGCCTTGTATCATTGCTAGGCTCTGCAAATGCTTTTTTGAAGTATTTTCTCTTCGTACGAGTTGAATATTTCTTTTCAAAGTCTTTTTCTATCTTCTTTCGACGCTCTCTAAACCGGTTGAGAATATACTTCTCTTCTATTTTAGACTGTTTTTTGTAAGCTTCGATATCAAAAAGAAACTCAGGCGGATCCATTGATGTTCTCTTTTAGTAAGATGAGACTTTTGGTATTGGTACATGATCACATCAAAGGAAGAACAAGTTCTCATTTATATAACATTACATTGCATTGGCTTGATTAATATATAAGGATTGAATTCTCGGATAAAAACAAAAGTCATAGATTACGTTGCTAGAGAAATAGACAAACACACATTTAGGCATGTCAATTAGGGCTAAAGCCCGCGGGCTAGTCCGGCCCGGCCCTAAAAACATCGGGCTCGGGCTTAAATATATATGTCCAGAAAAAACCGGGCCTTTTGGGCTAAGCCCATTCGGGCTTAAGGGTTTTCTGGGCTTAACCCGGTCGGGCTCGGGCTGGCCCGAAAAGCCCTTAAATAAATATATTTTTATTTTTGTAAATATTGTAGTTTGAATAGAAGATTTGATTAATGAATTAATTTTTCATATTTACTTACTAGCCTTACTTAATACTTTTAAAATCATTATCTATCATATTTTCTATTATTTATATATGTCGAAACTGAACAAAGCTAAAATTATATATAGATATTGACTCTATCATCTACTTTAAAGTATTTTTAAAGTATTTTAGTTCCATGTTTTATTGGGTTAAAGTGTAAATAATTTATTTAGTCTTCATTTTTTCTCTTAAATTAAGTTAGTTTTAATGAATATTGATAAGTTATTTAAATTTTGATACATTATTTTTATAGTATACTTTTAAATATTGTTTTTTAAAAACTATTATGAACTTAGAAGTTGATTTTTTATCGTTAGCTAAAGCCCAAAAAAGCCCGAAAAGCCCTGTAGCCCTGTTAGGGCCAGGCCGGGCTTTGAAATATAGGCCCGGATATTTTTCGGGCCGGGCCGGGCCGGGCTCAAATATATGAGGGCTTTACAGGTTTTGGGCTGGGCCGGGCCGGGCTAGCCCAATTGACATGCCTACACACATTATTAAAGCATAGAAAGTTAAACACATATTATTAAATTAAAGCATAAAGAGACATACACATAAGCAAAAGAGGGATAGACACACATTATTAAAGCAGAAACATACATAATACTAATTGATAGCCCTGGACAAAATATTCGTTAGATTCGCTTCGATTTAGTAATTGACACTTCATAAGTATTAATTCTAGATTGCAGGTAATAGAGGGGTTGAGTGTCTTAAACAACCATATGTTATGCATACTAGCTTTAATACATCACGTTAATTATAAATTTATCGACTTTAAGGAGTTGACTTTCTAAATCTGAATCAGTAATTATGATTAAAACTTCATTGTTTTAACATTAAAATTAAATCCATTGATGGGAAGGACAGCTACTTCTGTTGATGATCCTCAAACAAAACGTTCTAAGTTATATGGTTCTCAAACTTTGGAACAAAACTTGAGAATAGGAACTGTGTCTTCCCAAATCAATTCCAAGACAAAAGACTCATTCATCTTAACGCCATTAATCTCACAAAAGCCTTTTGAACCTCTTCCTAAACTCATTGTTCCTGATCTCTTGTCCATCAGTAGTGGCGTCGACCATCTTCCACCATATCTGTCAACCATTGTTATCTTCCCTGCTTTGTTGATTCCAATAGCCTTCATGAATTCCAACGGCAGATTCTGTAGATACCATTTTCACATCATATATAGAGAGTATATGTACAAAAACAAGAAACAGAGTTTTCTTGTGGGACTTACAAGTTTACTTGCAGGTGTAAGTGTTAATGTCACAAGTCGGTTTTGGCTTCTTGAGCTATTCCCTTTTGTGGAAACGTATTCTTGTTTAATAGCTTTCCTTCTATCGTCATTGGTAGGTTCTTCAACTCTAGCTGTTGAGTCATTACGGCGAACTTCTACGCCAAGAAACTCTTTTTCTGTGGCTTCTACGCCAAGAAACTCTTTTTTGGTTGCCTTTAAACACTTTCCTTGCCTTGTGTCATTACTTGGCTCTGCAAAGGCAAAAGCCTAACTTCATTTATTCATTGATTCTTCTTACAACATTTTTCTGTTTCTTGAAAGCATAAAAGATAACACAACATACCAACTTTGTGGCTATCTTCACTGTTAAAGGGGAACAACCGGAGGACAGGTACTTCATCATTTTCGACTAATTTGAATGTAAACGAGTCTCCGGGTTTCTTACCATTAGCCAAACAGAAACTTTTCCAGCCTCTTATCGTTAAAAACCGGCCTGAATATGCCTCGTGTTTCACGTCTATCTTCCATGACTCTCCCTCTTCATTCATTAGAAGCATCTGAAATTTCTTCAACAAACCATTTGACTCTATGAACGTCTTCGGAAGATACTGCAGTTAAGTATAGTCATCATGAAATACACTGACATAAAAATCAATGTACATATAATGAGTGTATAAGGAAGTAACATAACCATTCTATCGCGGGATAGATTTGAAGTTGTGACTCTTGCCACAAAACTAGAACAGTCTGGTGAATCATCTACTTCGCTTCTTCCACTCCTCTTTCTTGGAAGGTTCTCTGTATCAACCTTTGAAACTGATAAAGTAGTTCATATGTAATAATGGGAACATAAGGAAGTAACTTACCAAGTATTTCTGGAACTTCACTGTCCATGGGGAACAACTTGAGCACAGGTGTTTCTTCATTTTGGACTAATTTGAATGCTATCAAGTCTCCAGGTTTCTTCCCATTAGCAACACAGAAACTTCTCCATCCTCTTCTCATGTTAAACCGGACTGAGGGATTTAACTCGTGTCTCAAGTCTATAGTCCATGATTCACCTTTTTCATTTATTAAAACAATCTGATACTTGTTCATCAGCCCATTTGACCTTGCGAACCCTTTCGGAAGATACTGCAAATCTCACCACAAAGTTAAGTTAGAGTTAATCATATGAATATGGTTAGAACACCTATCAGTCAACTCAAATGTAATCTATATAGTAAGAAAGTAACATAACCACTCACCACTGTGTCGCGCCTTAGGTTCGAAGCAGTGACAGTGAGGACAAAACAAGAATCTAGTGAATGGTCTGGTTCAGAATCTGCAGCCTCTCTTTTGAGACTCTGTTTCTTCTCTGTTTCACAAAGTTGATAGATTAAGCAATCTCAGAATCATTCTAAATGTGGTAATAATGACATCTAATATGAAAAACTAAGGTTACCTCTTTTATCTTCTGTGTATTGAATCTGACAACAACTTGGTCCTAAAGCTGAGACATGGAACACCAACTCTCCTTCATGTCTGAAAACGACAATATCACCTACTCGTAGATCATGTGCTATGACGAAACCATCCCAACCGTGAGAGAGTCTCCGGCCATCGATCTTTACTTTCCATGTTATCTTCTCCGATGCGTCTGATCTCAGCTCAGCCGTTGTTTTACCTTCGTTACTTCCAACTAAGTGCTTCAAGAAGAACGCCACAGGAATGTCCTGAACACATACATGCAAGATTTGAGTTAGAAACAGAAACAACTTGGTTCTGAGAGAGATAGAGAGAAACAGAGATAGCATACGAGATGATTCGAGTAACCGGGAAGAAGCGGTTGGAAGAAATGTGGATTGATCGGAGAATACAGAGGTTGATTCACCATTTTTTTTTTCTTCTTGTTTTCTTGGTCATAGGTTTTGTTATCTTTCAGATTATACAACTTTGTCTTACTATACTACTCTGTCCCCTAGGGTAATGTAAACAAGAAAGAAAAAAAAAAACTTTCAACAGCTTTTTCCGACAAGTAATGTCAAGAAAAAAACTTTATCAACTTTTTACCAAAAAGTAATTGTGTTGGAAAAAAAAAAAATTCAAGTTTACTTTTAACTAAGGAATAGTGTTGGGATTGAAACAAAAACTGTGATTGGTTATGGAAAATATTCAACAAGATAGTGGAACTTGGCTTTCTCCATAAATCACGAGGAGAAACTATTTGTACATTCGTAGCAGTGTCACGTGCATCATCTCTAGTCTCTAGGTTATGACTTCTGACGTTAGTTTCAAAATGTGGAATCTCGTTATCTGAATAATTTTTATTTACATCGTTACAGAACAACTGAATTTTCAAGAAGCATATACAATAAAGCTACATAGGTACTGTTCATGATTTTTTGTTTTGTTAGATTAGAGACAGTCTTGGTCATGAATCTCACTTGATACCAGCGTAATGGTTGCTCTGACTTGTGTCTCTAACAGTTGTCAATCTGGTTTGTTGCTTGATTCCTGTTCTCAGGCATGTGCTGAATTTGACGAACACGGACATTTCTCTACACCGTTGATGTACGAATCTTTGTCTGGTTGTGTAAACTCTTTCCACAACTCATTCATTTTAGTCTTCTTAAGGAAACAGAATGTGAATTTGCCGAGTGTTAGAACGCACATAACAAACACAACAAGAAACAGAAGCCAGAAACTGTCTACACCGAGCTGCCTAGAGCTAAAAGATGGATTAGGGTCTGGATTGGTGACTGGGTCTGGACAGCTTTCTTCTTTCTTCTTGAACCAAGCGCGCTCTAGCTCCATTGCCTTTGGTGACTCTGCTACTTTTAAGATGGCTCTTGAAACATCAGCCACCAAAGGTGGTCCAATGGGAAAAACCTGCGAAAAAGGGATGTTATGATCTCTCCACTTAGTGCAACTTTCTCAGAAGATTTTTAATATGGGAACTTACGAAGCCGAAACCGTCAACTTTGAAAGGTTCCTCAACCATTTTATAAGTGTTGCAATATTGTCCAAGAAAGAGTCTCAAGTAAGGTAATTCCAATAAAGCTGCAGAGATACCGCCTTTGCCATTTTCTCGTCCTTTCCTCAGAAGTTCATCACATTCTTCTGCGGTATCGATGGGCACAAGGCTAGATTGTGAAAAACCTGATTCTTTAAGCTTTCCAAGGATGAAGGATGTTCTCTGATATCCCACTATTTCTCCTTTCTCAAGCAAGCTACTCATACTGGTTATGGTTGGATGAAGTTGCTGTGATGTCAAAACCGACGCCAAACTGGCTGTGTAACTCTGAGTTAGCACGAGAACGACGAAGTACCATGTGATAACTAGGATCCTTGCCCCGAAGCTAAACACTCTTTCTCCTGCAAACAACAACTTGAAAGTAAGCATTAAGAAACGAGTTATATAAAAACATTATTAATACATGTTGATGTAGAAAGGAGAGATTTAATGTACGTGGCGCAAAAACCATGGTAGAGAAGGCAAACCAAACGATGGTACTAGCTTGGTAATTAGCTGGTCCACGGAAGTCTGGATTAACCCTATGTTCAAGAACCCAAACAGTACAACCAACAAGGAAGAAAGAGACAAAAGAAGTTAACCATAGTTTCCATGTTAGAGGTTTCAAGAAACTGATACTGTCTCTCTTCACTTGGTCTTTCATTGGGACGATCAATCCCACACCTGATCTAATGAATGGGAATGTGAAGTCGACGTAAGAGGACCTATTCGCCAGTATGGTTGTATCTCCAACAACCGCGTCATATCTCTGCGACAGATAAGAAAAGCAGAGTTCATTAAAAGTGGTTTTTGTAATGCTATTTTGAGGGGATAATTAGTATGCGATCGTACTCACCCCGAGGTACACTTGGTGGACTAAATCATTGTAATTACCGGCTGGTTTACCATCGCGTTTCTCAAAAGGAATGAACTCGTAGGAGACATCATAAGGCATTGCTCGAATCACAGCCTCAAAGAAATCTATGCAGAAACCTGTGACTGTTGGTGTCTTGGTGATAGGATCCCTTGTGACCTTCACGAGATCAGTGTAACCGGTTCTCTTTGGAACTCCAATACGCAACTTCTTCCCATTAGTCGGAATCTCCCATCCTTTTGGAACATAATCAGCCTCTCCAGGCCATATAATATGTTTAAGATGATCTTTCCAAGTAGATAAAGCGCTCATGCTCTGCGGTTGCTGGTCTAGTTTCTTCACAAGACCATTTTCCTCTGTCCAGAATCCTATTGACCTTTCTCCGGTTCCAATCACATTAACAATCTCAAAAACTGATGGTTGTAGTTGCCCATTTACAAAACGAAAATCACCTGCAAGCCCTTTGAAATGAACTCTTGAGAGTGTCTGGAGAAGCTTTGGACCATATTGAGATAAACCAAGAGATTCAATTTCAGAAACATTCCTTCCAAGATCCACATTACTGAAAGCCAAGTTATTTATTCCAGCTTCTTCAATGGCTATTGCAAGTGCGGTGGTAGCATCATAAGCCCACAATCCATAGACACTCAGTTTTAACCGTGGAAACATCTTCCTCCATCGAGATCTAAACTTGTCTAGATCTTTGGATTTCCGAAAATAAGTTTTAACACCCAATACCCCCTCCATAGACTCAATACCCGTCTCATTTATCGAACTTAAGTCATCCGTAACACCATTGGTAAGGATCCAGACATATCCTGGTTTCATTAAACCAATCTCCTTTGCTTTGACAAAGACTCTTGAGGCAAGGGACGAGTACATGTGGACAATAAAGACTCTAGTGGGCATGCTCATCATCTTAAGAAGCTCCACAGAGATTTCATGGTTCGTGGCATTGAGAGCGATAACAGATCTATAAGGTATTCGAACATTAATCTCTTGTAATGCGTCTGTGAGACGAGGCATTATACCTTCTCCAAAGGTGTTGTCGATGTAAACAGGTACGACTTCTCTCCAACCAAACAACTTGATGATAGCTTTTATGGAGTGCACTTGGGAGGAATCCTCATATGTAGCACGAAAGAAGTATGGACTGCGAAGTGATTGAAGAAATGGGCTTGTTGCAGAGTAGGAAACAACAGGAACCTGTGATTTTTGGCCTATCTCGATCAAGAAATGAGCTTGCATTGAAGTCCATGGCCCTACTATTGCTTTCACTTGTTTGTTCTTTATCAGCCCAAGAGCTGTGGAAATGTCAAAACCAAGACCATTTTGGTGTGAAGAATAGAATGTGAATAAAGCTCTTGTTTACAATGGATATGTGTTAATCAGAGAAACAACAAGTGATATAAGATGATCAAAATAGAATTATATGTTCTTCAGTACGGATCACCATGAAGAGTAGATAGCAACTAGAGTTTGAACGTGGGAGATGAAAAGAGAAACTTCTATTTACAGTCCAAGACTTAGAGCCAATCCATATAGCTACTGAATTCTTAAATGTTCGTCGAACGTTATTTTTTTTAGCTTAGAAGAGTCAACAAAACAACAACTAAGCATCAATTCATTTATCATCTCAAAAGCTGTGAAAATGTCAAAACAAAGAAAATTGCCAATTATGTTTCGTGGAAAGAGAGGAGAAGAGAAGGAACCTGCAACTGCAGCACCTACGACATCGTTTTTGGAGTCACCAACATGAACAACAAGCCTTGTCTGAAATTGCGGACGAGAAGAATAAAAATCAGCAAGAGACATGTTGATACAGAGCATGGCAACATCGGAGTATGGAGTTCCGACATCTGTAACAACACCCACATTGACATCAATTCTTCGATTGTTCTGTCCTCTGCTGAGTTCTACACACAAGTCAGAGAAGCAGAACAACAACAAAACGAAGAAGAACAAAAGTTTCTTGTTTCTCATTTGGGTGTTTCCCCCACTTTAGTATATAAATTTCTTTGTTTCAAAGTAACAGATGCTATTGGTTTGTATGCAATAATATATAGGACAGTTGTGAACAACATATTGAATTTGTTTACTTCTCTAGATTCTTAGACTAAATCAGAATAACGAGTAATCATATGGTAAAGATAAGAAGCAACTACATTGTCAACGCTCACAGGAATTTTTAATGCAAACATTTCTACATTAAGGAGGTTCCGTATATTGTAGGAGACGACTTATCATTATATATTGTAAGAAAAATAATGTTAGGAAATACAGACGACAAAAAAAAATCAACTAGTAGAGCAGTAGAATATAGTAAAGGTGTGTGGATTACGTAACTGAAAGTAACACCAACATAACTTTAATATCTTATAAACTAGGTAATGTCCCGCGCATATGCGCGGGTTGTTGTATATTTATTTAATTATTTTAATTTATTTATTACTTATAAAAATAGATTAAATAAATTTTAATGCTTATGACATTTTTACATGTTATTTATTTAAATCATACAATAGAAGCATACATTCATATCTTTTGAATTTATTCGTTGATTAATTGTTCAATTAATCAATTTTGATAGTAATTTACTTTAGTACTTTTAAGTATTTTTTTGATAAAACCTTTCATTTTGTTTGCCATTTGATTATAACTTATAGTGTAATTAAATTTTGTATTGAATGATTGTCATAAACATTTATTTATTTATTTATTTTGTTGAATGATATATGATTAAGTCCTTTCATTTTCTTTGCCATTTGATTATAACTTATAGTGTAATTAAATTTTGTATTGAATGATTGTCATAAACATTTTTTTTTAAATTAAAGCCTTAAATATTTTTCCACCAATAAGGAGAGAGTGGAACCTTACTTATATATATATGATTTCCTGATACATTCTTTCGTTGACCTTTTCAAGTCAGCATAACAATAATCTTATGGTAAACACACAAGTAAGAGCGTACGAAAAAAGTAAAACCTTGTGACTAAAACTAGAAAAAATAAGGATTGAGATTTTACTGTTCCACACAGAGCCACTTGGTGAAGTTATCGAACTCTGTGTAGTCACTGTCTGATATCATAGTCTGGTAACAAGCTTTTCCTGCTGCTTTAATCTTCACTGCTTCCTCCTACAACACACAAGGATTGAGAAGAAGATTAATCACACAAGCCAGTTACCAGACATTATGCTTATCAATTCTAAACAGTTCCTAAGAAATCCAATTATCAACAAAAGAATGACAACGATGAATAAAATGGGACTGACTATATACCTTTGAGATGGGTGTCCTCTTCTTCTCGAGCTTCTCCTTTTTGGACTTTACTCTCTCAGCTTCAGCCAACAAAGACATCCTCTTAGCAGTCTTAGCATAAGGGTTAAGCTTCAACATCACATTCAAATTCTTAAGAGGATTCTTCTTCAACACAGCTCTCTTCACATCCTTCTCAATCGGTCAAACCATACTCTGAACCTCATCCGGATTAATAATCCTAGCAAGATCAGCATTAACCATCTTTCCTCTAGGTAAAACAGAACCATTCTTCATCCCTGACGGATTCTTAAACGAACCATAAACCGATTCCAACTTCTCGAAAGCCGATTTAGTCCACACCACAAATCTCCCCAAGTGACCACCATGAGCTAACTTAAGCAAACTCAACCTCTCTACATGACACAAATCAATCCCAAGAATGTGAGAACAAATGAAAAAAGAAAGGGTTTCTCTGCTGAATAATACTTTCTTGGATCTGTATTGCTTAATCAAAAATTACAATAGATAGATAGAGCTTTATACTTATACAACGGGAAGAACAATCTAGATCTCTTTTTTTAATGATCAGATCTGATTACACTTGTCAAGCATCTAGCCACTCTCTTCTGCAACAATAGGACCAAACCGGTTTGATAGTACAATTGTCGGAGAACCAGCTGGGAGTGACGTCTTCACCTTCCTTACACTCTGCATATTTGTGTCTTTGTGTTGCAGACAAGAGTTCTGTTCTTTTTGCTCCTTTGTCGTCTTTTGCTGGTGAGAAGAACTTTCAATATTACAAGGTATTTGGGCTATACTTGTTTTCCTGTTGTGGGCTTGAGGCCTTATACTTTCATCCCCCCGCAAACTGAGTGTGGGAGGAACTCGAACATTCAGTTTGTGACGCAAGCGTTGGAAAGGCTGTCGGGAAAGAGACTTGGTAAACGTGTCGGCAAGCTGGAATGGTGCTGGAATGTGTTGAACTTCAAGAACACCTAACGCAACTCTTTCACGAACATAATGGTAATCAACATCAAAGTGTTTGGAGCGATTGTGGAGTACCGGATTTGCTGAGAGATGAACAGCGGAGAGATTGCCACAGCGAAGAACAGCATGCCGAGATTGTGAGATTCCTAAATCACGAAGAACAGAGGAAATCCAAGTTAATTCTGATGCAGTAGAGGCAAGGGCTCGATATTCTGCCTCTGTAGATGACCGAGAGACTGTTGGCTGTCTTTTAGCTGACCAAGAGATGATATTAGATCCCAACAAGACACAAAAACCAGATGTTGAACGACGCGTATCCTTGCAGCCAGCATAATCACTATCACTATAGGAGACAAGAGACAGATCACTGTTCTTATAAATATGTAACCCCATTGTGGAAGTTCCACGAAGATACCGGAGTATGCGCTTAAGAAGACCAAAATCAGATTGTGTTGGAGAGTGCATCCGTTGACAAATAAAATTAACCGCAAATTGGATGTCAGGACGCGTAATGGTCAAATATTGGAGCTTTCCTGCAAGACTCCGAAAATAAGATGGTTCTGAAAAAGGAGTTGTATCTTTAAAAACCTGATCAAGTCGTAGCGGTAAAGGAGTGCATGTGGGATTGCAGGTTGACATGCTGGCATGATGGAGAATTTCTTCAGTGTATTTGGCTTGATGAATAAATAAACCTTGGTGGTGGGTTTGTGCTTGTATGCCCAAAAAATAGTGTAGATTACCCAAATCTTTCATTGCGAATCGAGAGCTAAGATCAGCAATTAGTGACTTGAATAATGTAGGATTAGAACCAGTAAGCAGTATGTCATCAACGTATAGCAAGAGAACCATGGTGTCACCATTGTGATGATATGTGAAGAGTGATGGATCTGCTTTACTGCAAACAAAGCCAAATTCCAAGAGAAAGTTGCTAAACTTATCAAACCAAGCGCGGGGAGCTTGCTTCAAACCATATAAAGCCTTCTTTAAAGAGCAAACATGAGTTGGATGATTGACATCTTCGAAACCTGGAGGCTGAATCATATAAACTTTCTCTTGTAGATCACCATGAAGAAAGGCGTTCTTCACGTCGAGTTGAGTAATATTCCAGCCTTTGGTTGTAGCGACTGTGAGAACAATCCGAATTGTAGATGTTCGAACCACAGGGCTGTACGTCTCATTGAAATCAACCCCTGGTTCTTGATTGAAACCTTTGGCCACGAGACGTGCTTTGAGCTTATTTACTGTGCCATCTGCATTGAGTTTAACTGTAAAAACCCATCGACATCCCAATATATTCATCTCAGCAGTAGCAGGAGTCAAGGACCATGTATGATTTTGATAGATGGAATCAAGTTCTTCTATCATAGCTTGTCGCCAACCCGGATGATTCAACGCTTCAGTCACACTTTTAGGAAGAGAAGGAATAGTTTTACTAGCAACAAGGGCGTACCTTGGGTTTGGTTTACGAATGCCGTCTTTAGATCGTGTTGTCATTGGATGGAGTGATGAAGGTCCAACCGCGTTATCTTCTGTTGTTACTTGTGTAGGAGAATCATTGTTTTCTGTTGTTAAGGTGGAATAGTCCTCTGACGGTGAAGCTACAGGACTTGGTGGTGCACATGGTGTCTCATCTTGTGGATATTCCACAACACATTCAGCTGGAGGTGTATCACGTTGAGAGCTTGCCTTGGTTTGTGATGGAAGGATTGGTATAGTTCGGAATTGATCATCACTGGATTGCCAAGCGCCAAGTAAACCAGTTTTATGACGTGTAACCAATTCTTTGTATCTATCTATGAACGGAAAGCACGATTCATCAAAAATAACGTGCCTACTTATGTAGACACGACCTGTTGGTGGATAGAGACACCGATATCCTTTGTATTGAGCATGATATCCCAGAAACACGCATTGAAGAGAACGCGGTTCAAACTTGTGTTGGGTGAATGGTCGAAGGCATGGATAGCATGCAGCACCGAACACACGGAGAAAGGAGTAATCTGGTTTCTTGTTCAATAAAAGCTCATGTGGACTCTTCTGTTGCAGCACAATAGAGGGAAGCAAATTGCTGATAAAGTTAGCTGAATAAAATGCCTCAACCCAATACTTAAGAGGTGTTTTGCTGTGGAATAACATTGATAGACCAAGCTCGGTTAAGTATCTGTGTTTTCGTTCTGCTATACCATTTTGTTCTGGCGTTGATGGACATTAGATGAGATGTCGAATACCGTGATCTTGTAAATGATTTCTGAAACGAGTGCTCATAAACTCACCACCACCGTCGCTTTGAAACACTTTTATCTTCTTACTAAACTGATTCTCAACTTGTTTTTGAAAACCAATAAACACATCACAGAAATCAGACTTTGACTTAAGAGGAAACATCCAAGAATATCGAGAAAATTCGTCCACAAAAACTGCATAATATTTGAAACCTTGAACTGATACAACTGGAGAAGGACCCCAAAGATCACAATGTAGTTGATCAAGTGGCTCCATAACATTAGATGTAGAAGAATAAAAAGGAAGCTTAGAACTCTTTCCCATTTGGCAAGGTTCACAAATGGAAGTAGTGCTGCTCTTATTAACTGAAATTGCCTTGCTGTTTTGGAGAAGATGAAGAATCTGAAAGTTTGCATGGCCGAGACGTTGGTGCCACACCATATCACTTGCAACAACTTGTCGATTTGAATAAAAAGCAACAAACGCCGGATTCTTCATCACATAGAGGTTATCACGGTGTGGTCCTCTTGTCACCACCTTCTGAGTGTTTAAGTCAATAATATAGACATTATTAACATCAAAGAAAACTCCACAAGGGTAATCGTCACACAACTTGGATACTGACAACAGTGATTTCTGCATTGAGGGGCAAACAAGGACATCACAAAGAGGGATACTACCTGTTGTGGTGTTGAGGACCGTAGACCCAACATGAGTGATAGGTTGATAAGTACCATCAGCAACCATCACTGTCTCAGGACCATTGTATGGTGTAGCAGCTTGGAGGGGAGCCGTTGTAGGAGTAATATGAGCGGAAGCTCCAGAATCTGGTAACCATTCATGACCATTAGCATCAGAGACATGAAGTGCTGCAAGTGCTTGAGGAACATCATCACTCTGATAAGATGCATCAAAACGATTCCAACACTTCAAAGCAACATGCCAACACGCCCACAAATTTGACAAACTGGCCGAGAATTGTTAGAACCATTAGATTGTTGAGACTGGGTTTGATTCCAACCAGAGGAATTGACTTGTTGTGAAAAACCTCTTCCGCGAGTCGAGAAACCACCTCGATTAGAATTTCCCCCTCTGCCTCTGTTATTGCCACGACCACGATATCCTGAAACAAAGAATATCCTGAAACAAAGAATCCACCTCTTTGGGTTTAAAACGCGAGATGCGGAGAAACATCGGGAGCATCTTCATAGGATTTCAATTTTGGGTCAAACGCAGAGATTTCCAGGACGACGTCGTTAAACGTTGGTGCAGGGAGGCGAGACATAGAACTTTGGAGCACAGTGGATATTGGGTCATACTCACGGCCCAATCCATTAAGGAACGTGAAGATTTTCATATTGTCATCAACAGGCTTTCCAATGGAGCTAAGACTGTCGCAAATAGTTCGAAACTCACGACTATAAACAGAGAATGTTTTACCTTTGATTGTCAACATCTGAAGACGGCGTCGGAGCTCAAACTCTCGTGCGACGGAGCTTTTGTTGAAATTAGAACGAGAGAAAGCCAGACATCGTGAGAAGTGGGTAATGCGTGAACGAGACCGAGCACTTCCTCTGTGAGAGTACCAAAAATCCATTATTTTATTAGCTCATCGGTACAGGTCCACACTTCAAACCCCGGATTTGGGTTTGTAACAGCGACATTGTTGACGGTGGTGACGGTTTGAGCAGCCGGTGGTGTGATTGAGCCATTGACAAAACCAAGAAGCTTCTGGCAACGAAGAAGTGACTCAAACTGGGTTTTCCATAGAAGATAGTTATTATCACTTAGTTTTATAGTGACAGAGCTAGCAACGTGAAGATTAGAAGGAAATGGAAAAGGACCCTCTGCCATTACAGCACCTATTAGGGTTTAAGAGAGCTCTGATACCATGAGAACAAATGAAAAAAAAGAAAGGGTTTCTCTGCTGAATAATACTTTCTTGGATCTGTATTGCTTAATCAAAAATTACAATAGATAGATAGAGCTTTATACTTATACAACGGGAAGAACAATCTAGATCTCTTTTTTTAATGATCAGATCTGATTACACTTGTCAAGCATCTAGCCACTCTCTTCTGCAACAATAGGACCAAACCGGTTTGATAGTACAATTGTCGGAGAACCAGCTGGGAGTGACGTCTTCACCTTCCTTACACTCTGCATATTTGTGTCTTTGTGTTGCAGACAAGAGTTCTGTTCTTTTTGCTCCTTTGTCGTCTTTTGCTGGTGAGAAGAACTTTCAATATTACAAGGTATTTGGTCTATACTTGTTTTCCCGTTGTGGGCTCGAGGCCTTATACTTTCAGAATGTTCCTAAACGCCTTACACAATCAATGGACCTTTACGAGAAACATATCTACGATTCCTCATTTTACCTACACTAGATCTAATTCCAGTACTATCCTTAGCCTTCTCTGTTGCAATACCTTAATCGCAACACTAGTCAACAGACTCAGCTGAATCACTAACCACAAGAGGAAGCTCAGGAACATTCTCAATCATATGACCACGTCCATCAAAAGAGCCGGAACAGAAGTCGCGCAGCAATCGCCGATACGATCGCGTGCCGTTTCAAATTGAGATTGACACTACGGTGCCAGCGTCGGTAGATCTTCGTCAGAGCAAACATACGACAACCACGACACATGTTTCCGAAAGCCACTTGACCGGCACGGTGAGTACAACCTCCAAGGACACGAGGGATACGTGATACAGCTCGTCATGTATCCCAAGACTCGGCTGATTCTGATGACCGGAGAGTTTTGATACGGCGTAAGGTTGGCGACTGTTGTTTGAGATCTGAGCGTGAACATGGTTCACAACGTCGGGACGAACTGGTGCTTTCGTTACATCGGGAAGAGGTAATGTGGTGGTTTGATTTGTGGTCATATTACCGTCCAGAGATTGGACGGTTACTAGAGGACGAACGGTGGCGGCGGCCATTTCTCTTGTAAAAGGCTACGGAGTCCGAATAGCCCCGGGCGTTTGGTTTTTTGGTCGGTTTTCGAATTTCAACCAAAATAACCAAAATTTGGTTTTCGGATCGGTTCGATGTAGATACTTCATACAGTACATATTTGAACCGACGAAGACATGGTTTGAAAACCAAATTATCTGTACAAAAAAAAAAAAAAAACATGGTTAGATATATGTAATAATGGAAACTTCAAAATTTTCGAATAAGAAACTTCATAATTTGAAATAAAAATTTATTGGAAATTCTTGTAAAATTATGATTGTGTTTTTGTTTGTAATTTTTTTGTTTTAACACCCTTATAAAAAAAATTAATGACATATCTTGTAAATAAATATATGTAATTGAATAATTTTCATACATCATACATCACATATTTCTAAAATTCATAAGCCAAAGAAAAAAAAAAATATATATATATATATATATGACACAAATACATTATACAATTTCTAATCTATTTTCGTTTTTTTTTTTTTTTTCGTTTCGTCCAAAAGTTTTATTACTTAAGCCCAGTGGGCATGCAAATACAGAAGAGTTAAACTAGAGGATTACAAACGAAATTTAAAAGGCCCAAACTAAACCATATTACAAAATACAAAAGATAATAAAACTTTGATGGTTTAGCATAAGACACGTGGAGATGAAGCACCTCCTCTAAGCCACGCATCAAATTGAAGCAGTTCCACGTCTCCACCGTCTGTTCTTCTCAAGCATCACCGGCATTCGATTAGCCACCACCAAATAACCCGAGGATGATGAGAATCCTCTTATCTTCTGCCGATCTCAAATCCAATCAAAGGATACGTCGAAGTCTACCGGATCAAGTATATTAAACTTCTTCAAATTTTCTTCGAGTATCATCAACTCCGGGGAAGCTCCACCACCGATTACATCCAGATTTTGATGTAATACTTTGCTTTGCTCTTATGAAATGAGCAAAATAAAAGTGACGAAGATATTACTCCTCGAATAGCTGAAGAAACAAAGAAAATTTGGAAGTGATTATCGGAGAAATCAACGGGAAAATAACATAACTGGATGAGAGATCTTATCTCGCTAAAACGAGAAATAAAACCGGACTTAGCCGGTACAAAGATCCGGATCTTAGCCGGAAATTATATTATATGACAAAATTCCGGTGTACCGGAAATCTCTTTCTCTCTCTGAAAAATAGAGGTGTGATAAGAGAGAGAATGAACTAAGTTGTAATCTATTTCGGTTAAACTACACAATAGTACCGTTGATTTTAAAACCAAGGACACTAAACCCTTCACCTGAGCCAGAAGCTCTCTAGCCTACTTAGCTCACTTTAAGCTAGAAAATCTTTTGTGTCACTCTGTCCCTTTTAGGGTTCTAAATTCGTTGTAATCCAAAGTTTGGGTACAAAACTACAAACCCGTCTTCCCTCTTTGGGTACGAACTAGAATAAACTCTTTTTCTCTTTGCTTATAAAATGCTAAACCTTGGTTTTGTTTCTCTCATTCTAATATCTGTTGGCAAATCTTGTTCTGCATACTTACTTCTCTCTGTTCATGTTTGTTTACAGTTTCCTAAAGAGCTCAAATTTTTCTTACAGATTCCGGAAATTGAAGCAACCACCAAAAGAATGGCACCGAGAAAGAAGAAGACACAAACCATGATTTGGGTACATACTCTTTTCTCTCCTTTTGGTACAAAATTCGAAAAAAAAGTTGTCATTTTTATCGAGTTCTTGAATTAGATTTTGATCCTCTGTTCATGTTTCCTAAACTCTAGAAGCTGAATTTGTCTCTTAGGTTAGGAAATCGCAACAATCAGAAACCATGGCAACAACAGAGAAGAACAAATCGCTACTAGACTGCTCTCATCTCCTTGAAGAGCTACCGCAAAGTTACAGTAGTGTATGAACTCTGTTTCTCTCCTCCTTTCAAGTTTGAGTTTGGAAATGTGATTTGATTCTTGGATTTCAATGTTTGTTGGCAGATTGTAGTTTTGTGTTTGTATATATGGTGAAAAGAGGATTTGAAATCAATCTAGATGAAGCTTTATACTTCTCAGGACAGCTAATTGATATTTTTCATTCAGGTTTTAAAACAACCTGCAATGACAATGCAAGACTGGTCTCTTCTCCCTGAGGAGCTACTTCACATTATCTCTGAGTATCTTGAGGACTGTTTCGATGTTATTCATGCTCGGTCTGTTTGCCACCTGTGGCGATCTATTTTTCCCTTTCCTTCTTGTCTACTACGCACTAGTTATTCTCTCCCCTCGTTCACCAAGTTTCCTCGCAGAAGCAAAGGTCTTTGCACCCTTGAGAAGTTCCCTATGTTCCTCTTTAAAGTCCTATCTCCTGCAATTACTGATGCAGAGTTTTTTGTGGGAGGAATAAACCGAGATAAGTCAGAAGATTGTATGAAGCTTCAATCTTCCATTCAATGTTCAGTGAAGGTGAAGATCCAAAATTCTGAACCAACCTTGTTGAACTTTCTCGACTGTCAGATACTTCCTCTAGGTTATCAGTACAAAATGATTGGTTTTGATCCTACTTCATTGGCAACAAGTTTCAGAGGTATGGCTTTCCTACCGCTAAACAAAGAGGCAGGAGGAGGAGGATTTGTTGTGCTTATAGGATACTCTCATAGTTTGTTGGTGTTAAGGAGTGCAGAAATGAGGTGGATGCGGCTTGAGAATTGCGCAGAAGCTGACTGCAAGCATATAATCACATTTAGAGGCAAGTTTTATGCAGTCTTTATTAGTGGAGATGTTTTTGTTATCGATCCTTATTCGCTGGAAGCAACTCCCTTGAGACCCTCAGAGCGTTTGACTTCACAAAACGATCTTGTACCATCTGGCAATGATGAGCTTTTCCTGGTTGAGAGAATCATTGTTCGTGGTACTGTATTACAGCTTAGCAAGTTAGCATGTAGAGACAGTAGGTTAGATGAGGAGGCTGGTGAATGGGTTGTGGTCAGCGATTTGGGAGACCGTGTACTGCTTATTGGAGAGCCGGGAAATTGCGCTTTCTCAGCTAAGGAGCTTCCTGATGGTTGTGGGGTGAGTGGGAACTCAATGATATTCACCAATGAGCCATTCGGTGTAACTTACTCTTATAAATATGGAGTGGATACAGGAAACGCTGAAGACGACCTCAATTTATGGCGATGCTCAAGAGAGACTCGTGTGAAGATACTCAACATGTCTCCGATGGTGGCTTTTCGGGTTGAGTGCAAGAAGCCGTAAAATCCTACTTTGGATAACTGAATCTGTTGGCTTTGTTTTTCTAGCTTTTGTATGATTTCAACTAAGGATCTTGTGATCTCTGATGTTGTGGTGAAATTCTAGTTTTAGTAATTTGTCGTTCTAAACTTACCTATCCCCTTTGTCTCTATGGAAACGTTTGTCTCATGAACTCTCTAAACCGTGTCTGGATGTGCTCTTGTTAATGTCTTTTGTAGTTAATTATCTATCATGCCTCTTGTATTGCCATCCATTATATTATAGTTTAATTTCAGATGAGCTGATAAAAAAAAAGGTAACACAGAGTTCAGCTTCCCCTGAAGTGTTCTTGAACGTACTTTGCACCGTGTGCGTTTGGTGGTCAAACATTTTTACGAGTGTTCAATCTAAGACAGGGCAGGGAAGACACATTGTTCTCCTCGTCGATCGAAAAGGTGAGAAATCAAAATCTATGCAGCTTCTCATATGCTTCAATTTGGTTTGAAAAACTTCTTCTCTCCATCAATTTTTGCATTGTGATTTATGAGAAAGGTAATGTAACTGACTCGTGGTGAATCATATGGTTTCTTCATCAACTATTAAACGTACAATCTATTAATAAGAAAATTCCAAATTAGAACAGTTTACTCAAGTGTGTGATGTTTTGTCAAATTCCATCTCACTCGTTGGGCTAATGTGTCACAAAAGCAGTTAGTTCAAATGATCTTTTGAAGAATTACCAGAGTACAAAGCAGTTTCTTGTTCACTGCAGTGTAAGAGAAGAGGGGACACACATCGATGGAATCGTCCATCAGTTGAAGATTTCAAAAAACACAATCTGAATTTCATTAAATCTAACTGCATGTATCAGAGACCAATACAAAACAATAAACCCTAATTAGTACCTTAAAGTCTACGACACTATCAAATCTATTAAACCCCTAAGAGCATGTCCAATGAAAGTTTTTAATTAAAAGTTCTTGGGTGTTTTTTGATAATAAATTGTGCACTTTTCAAAAATAAGAACTTTTTAAAATTATCCACCTCCAATGGTAAAACTCTAATTGGAGTTTTTAGAAACAAAATTTTGAAAACTAAAATTTGATAAAACAGGAAAATTATTGAGAACTTTTGAGAAATACCTCTTTTAGTGTATCTTTTTCAAAAATACCTATTTATCTATCTATTTTCAAAAATACCTTGTTTAAATATGAAAATTATAAAGTTTTATATGATTTATAAGGTACTTTTACATAATAACTACTACTGAGATTCGATATAAATATTTTATAATGTTTAAAAAGGTTTTAAATCGTTTTTACATATTTTAAAGGTTTTTAAAGGTTTTTATAAGTTACTTTACGCTATTTATAAAAATTATATAAAATTTTATACGCATACAAAAGTAATTTGTGTGTATAGTTATAAGTTTATACACATATTTTGATAAATTTCAACATTTTTAGTGGTTTTTTTGATTAAATTTGAAAATAGAGTATTTTTAAAAAATGATATGTGATAAGTGGTATTTTTGCAATTTCCTCAAAATTATTAGATTTTATAAAATTTGTAACACATTAAACCCTACCCCCTAAATACTATACCCTAAATTGCAAATAATCAACCCAAACCAAAGATTTAAAATTCCATACCATTGAACAATAATTTGATTTTAGTGGTATTTTTGGAAAGAAAACCAAAATGATGGTATTGTGAGGAATTCCTCTAATATAAAAACATAATAAAAATACATAGTACAAATTATATTTTAATTGTTACCAACAAAATGTTTTTTTTTTCTTAAACTCAAACCACTCATATATTGACAACTAACACTAAAAAAACTCTCCCAAAACTTCTAAATTAAAATACATTTCTTAATTTTATTTTCATTATTGATTTATTTTTTTGTCTTTTATTATTAAGAAACTACTTAGCAAACCACCATTGGACATGGTCTAAACTAATGAAACGATCATTACAAATCTACTACCATATCAAAAAAAAAATAACATAAATTGAAACCCTAATTAGACTACTTCGGATACACGGATCAACAAAATCATTACACAACCACAAAAAAAAAAGACATGTCTTGAAACCCTAATCAAACTCTGTTTCATTCTTGTAATTGGTAAACAGGTTGGCGACAGAGAGGGCATGAGTTCTTTTGTCGATTCATCCACTCAATGACACATTCTTTATGAAACTGATGCGAACAATTAGTCATGTCGTAGATATGTTCAAACTCCAACATCTTCTCCAAACAAATCGCACAAGTCTCTGTTTCTCCTTCTCCTTCTTCTTCTTCTTCTTCTTCTTCTTCGCTCTCTTGTAAACGAGGCACAACGATGTAAACCTTCTGTGTCAAAGTGATGTAGACAACCACGTATAAGGATTCAGAACTTTGACTTCTCAGCTGTTGGGTTTTAACAACAATCTTCTCAGATATCAGCTTGGACAAGACACGGTTGTGGAGTTGGCTAAGAACAACTCGATAGATGTGGTTTTGTTCGAAGTTTTGGATCTTCAGATAGATGATAGGGGCAGGAGGAGAAGGATCCGGGTAAGATCTGAAACGTGTTACACTGTCATCGTTCTTGTCTATGATAAGTTCTTCGAATTCTCTGTCTGTACTGATTAGTACATTGCTTGAGAACTCTGACGATGGAGTATGATGCCAAGCTGTTACATGAACATCAACGTCTACTGATTTGGTTTCCATGATCAAAGAGAGATGATGAGTCGTTTAAGAGATTGTAATGAGAAAACGAGAGAGAACAGAGAAGAGATTATTGTGAAAGTATGAATTTGTTGTGAAATATGAAATTGTGAAGTGTTATTTTATTATATTATGCATATAATTTCCTTTTTTCCTTCGAATTTCCTTTTTTATTTCCAATTTCCATTTTTGTTTTTTGGGGTCTAGATATTTAACGTTCGTTTACTGTTGTATTTACTTTTTTTTTGGGGTAGATATCTAATTAAACCGGAGCTAAACCAGTTCCAATCGTTTCTCGGTTTATTATGTTTTGCTATGTTTGGGCCTGGGCTAATAATTAATACAGCCCATCTTCTCATAACGTAACCCAATTTCAATCATAAACCGAAGACTAAACCACCGAGAATGTAGTGTGTTCTTCTTCTTCTCCGTGAGTTTAATAAACCGAGTTATTATGAAATCAATCCTTAACCGAAGACTAACCATCGAGATTGGAATCGTAAACCAATGTCACAATTTTAGTGTGTTCTGCTTCTTCTTCTTCTTCTCCGTGAGTTCTTAAACATAAACCAGAGGGTTTTGGGAACGATTCATCTTCTTCCCCTTTGCTACGAAATTGAAATTGAGACTCGATTCTTTAATACTTGCTGGCAAATGTTACATAGCCTCATACGATGAATCGTCTTTCTTTTAATCATGTTCGTTTGCAATATCCTGATTAAACCCTAGAAGCTTTCAGATTTTCGAAAATGGCAACGGAACAAGATACGTCATACCAAATGCTAGAATCATCTCTCCTCCCTGATTGTGTACGTTTGCTTCTGTGTTTGAGTTGAGAAATTTGATTTGATTCTTCGTTTTCTCAATGTTTGTTAGCTGAGATGAGTTTTTTTGTTTGCAAAATCGCAGTTGTCTCTGTCTCCGTCTCCATCGGCGAAAATGGAGCAATCTGCAAGGAAAAAGCACACATTGTGCAAGCCAGACTGGTCTCTGCTCCCTGAAGAGTTACTCCACTATATCTCCACCAAGCATCTGGAAGATCACTGTTTCGATGTTGTCCATGCTCGCTCTGTTTGCAGCTCGTGGAGATCTTCATTTCCATTTCCTTCTTGCCTATTACGTCCACGTTACTCTCTTCCATCGCTACCCAAGTTCGGTTGGAAAAGAAAGGAATTGTGCATCCTCGAGAAGACCCCTATGTTCCTGTTTAAAGTCCTAGATACCACTGCTGCTTCTGCGTTGCCTTCTGAGTATTTTATGGGAGATTTAAGCCGAGATAATCGTTTGGAGCTACCGTCTCATCTTCAGTGTTCAGTTAAAGTGAATGTCTCAGGATCTAATCCATTCTTGATGAACATGCTTGACTGCCAAATCCTCCCACTAGGGTATCAGTACAGAATGGTCGGTCGGAATCCTGAAGAAATGACGATAGCTTTTCTTCCACTAAACAAGGATGAAGGAGGAGAAGCAGGAGAAGAGTTTGTTGTGCTTCTCAGCTACTCTAGTTATTTACTGATGTTGACAAGTGCTGAAATGAGGTGGATGTGGCTTTCGAATATCCCAAATGCTTCATGCTCGGAGTTAGTCACTTTTCGAGGCAGATTTTATTTAGCCTTTCTTAACGGGGACATTTGCGTTTTCGATCCTTGTTCGCTTGAAGCGACTGACCTGATGCCCTCACAGCCTCTGCGATCAAGCAATTATCTGATTTCATCTGGCAATGATGAACTTTTTTTGGTTGAGATAATCGGGCCGTATCCTTTGGGATTAGCTTTTGGTCGATTCACATGTAGAGTCAGTCGGCTAGATGAGGAGGCTAGTAAATGGGTGGAGGTTCGCGATTTGGGAAACCGTGCATTGTTTATTGGACTGCTGGGAAATAGCTCGTGCTCGGCTAAGGAGCTTCCTGATGGTTGTGGTGTGAGTAAGAACTCGATTGTCTTCACCTTTGGGCCGTGCAATGTATCTTACATCTATAAATATGGAGTACATACAGGAAACACGGAAGACGACCTCAATTGGTGGAGATGCGCAAGTGAGAGTCGTGTGAATATCTTCTACACGAAGTCATAAAATCTACCTTTGGATCTACCCAAGAGTCTTAAGACATCTATTGGTTTTGGTTTGGTAAAGATATAGTGTCACGGACACATGCTGAAGATCAAGATCACTCGAGATTCAAGTCTTTGTTAAATAAATTGGAAACACAGTAGCGTATAGAAATTGTTGTCTCATGAACTCCTCAAACAGTGTCTAGCTTTGTTGTCATATGTTTTGACATAATAAGTATTAAGTATGATTAGATTACCATTATTATTGGTACTATTTACACGATTCAGTAAACAATTCAGACATATTAAAGAACTATTTTTGACAATTAACTAGAAGGTCTCTCTCTCTCTCCTTTTACTCCGTGGTGTGACTGAATTTTGGGTTAAAAACTTGTAATCCAAAGTTTGGGTACGAAATTGAATAATCTATATTTTGTTTTATCGAATTCTGAATTGGGTTCGAATCTCTCTTTCCAATATCTGTTGGCAAAAATGTTGTTCTTGACATAGTTACTTCACTCTGTTCATGTTTTGTTCACAGTTTACCTAAACCCCTACAAAGCTTAGTTTTTTCATACAGATTTCGGAAATTACAGCAATCAGCAAAAACATGGCACCGAGAAAGAAGACACCAACCATGATTTGGGTACGCACTCTTTTCTCTGCTTTTGATACAAAAACTCGTAAAAGTTGTCATTTTTATCGAGTTCTTGAATTGGAGTAGATTCCTTGTTTCAATACAAACTCGTTCTCTGTTCATGTTTCCTAAATCCTTAGAAGCTTAATCTGTATTTTAGGTTAGGAAATCGCAACAACCAGAGAACATGGCAACAACAGAGAAGAACAAATCGCTACTAGACTGCTCTCCTCTCCTTGAAGAGTTACCGCAGAGTTCCAATAGTGTATGAACTCTTTTTCTCACTTAATTTGATTTGTATAACTACGAGTTTGAGTTTAGTAATTTGATTTCAGATGTAGTTTGCTATATGTATGGTGATAAAAAAAAAAGATTGAATCAGTCCATATGTAGCTTTACACATCCAATTCATTGGCAGAACTAACGTATTGATTAGATCTTCTCTGTTTCATTCCTGTCCTAACACAATGTTGTCCATCCTTTTTCCTTTAGGTTTCAAAATCGCAGCTTCCTCTTGCAACGGAAGAGCATACATTGTCCAAGAAAGACTGGTCTCTTCTTCCTGAAGAGATTCTGCACATTATATCTGAGAAGCTGGAGGACGGTTTCGATGTTATTCATGCTCGGTCTGTTTGCCACCCGTGGCGATTCGTTTTTCCGTTTCCTTCTTGCCTATTACGCACTAGTTATCATCTTCCCTCGTTCGAAAAGTTTCCTCGCAAAGCTAGAGGTTTCTGCACTCTAGAGAAGTTCCCTATGTTCCTCTTTCGAGTCCGAGCTCCCGCTGTTGCTGATGAGTTGCCTTCTAAGTTTTTTGTGGGAGGAATTAACCGAGATAAGTTAGAGGATCATATGCAACTTCCATCTCCACTGCAATGTTCGGTGAAAGTGAAGATACAAGGATCTGATCCATCCTTGATGAACATTCTCGATTGTCAGATTCTCCCTCTTGGCTATCAGTGCAGAATGATTGGTTACGATCCTAACTCATTGGAAACCAGTTTTAGAGGCGTGGCTGTTCTACCGCTAAATAAGGAGGAAGGAGGAAGAGAATTCGTTGTGCTTATTGGCTACTCTCATTTATTATTGGTTCTAAGAAGTGCGGAAATGAAGTGGATGCGGGTTGAGAAAGCCTCTAGAGCTGACTGCAAGCATATAGTCACATTTAGAGGCAAATTTTATGCAGTCTTTATTAATGGAGATGTTTCTGTTATTGATCCTTATTCGCTGGAAGCAACTCCCTTGAGGCCCTCGGACCGTTTGAGCTCACAAAACTATCTAGTACCATCTGGCAATGACGAACTTTTCCTGGTTGAGAGAATCATTGTTCGTGGTAGTGTAATAGAATTTAGCAAGTTAGCATGTAGAGTGAGTAGGCTAGATGAGGAGACTGGTAAATGGGTCGTGGTCACCGATTTGGGAGACCGTGTATTGTTAATTGGACAATTGGGAAATAGCTCCTGCTCGGCTAAGGAACTTCCTGATGGTTGTGGTGTGAGTGGGAACTCAATGTTGTTCATCAATGAGATATTCAATGAAACTTATTCCTATAAATATGGAGTAGATACAGGAAACGCAGAAGACAACCTTAATTTGTGGAGATCTTCGAAAGAGACTAGTGTAACGATCCTCAACACATCTCCAATGGTGGCTCTCCGGATAGACCGCGAAAAGCTGTAAAATATTACTCTGGATACCTGAGACATCTGTTGATTGTTGTTTTTATTAGCTAAAAATATATTTTCCTAATGATTTCTGTAAAGATTTTGTGATCTCTGATGTTATGGTGATATTCTATTATCAATTTTTGTAGTTCTAAACTATCTACCACAAGTCCACAACCTTATTGTCTCTATCATGGAAATGGTTGTCTTATGAACTCTCTGTGCTCTTGGTAACACACGGTCTTGGTCTTGAACTGACATTGCTCCGTGTGAATATGTGTTTGGTGATCAAGCTTGTATACTAGTGTCTGAACGAAACCAGGGCAGGGCAGACACATTGTTCTCCTCTACGATCAAAAAGTGACCTATGCAGCTTCTCATATGCTTCAATTTTATTTGACACTTCTTCTCTCCAATCATTTAGCATTGTGTTATGAGACAGGTTAGAACGTTTGTTAATTTGGAGTACAATATTTGTCTCATGAACTCTCCAAACTGGCTGCGTTCTCAGGTACCACAAGGTCATGTGTTTACATCCGGTATTTAAACCGGATGTAAACCAATACATTAAACCGGAGATTTATAGTCAATAGTTAAGATGTGTATGTAAACCGATACCTTTGAATTCGGAACTTTCTTCTTCCCCAATCTCCCAAATCAAAATACACTAAACCCTAAAATTCTCTCGCTGAGACAGTCACAGTTGAGTAATTTCTTCTCCGACAACTTCTCCATCCTTTGGTTCTGTCTTCATAATCGTTTGCATTAAGACTGGTATGTTTCTCGGGATTTAGCTCCTCTCATAATTGTAGAATCTCATTGTAACAAACTGATTCATCTGCTATATAGATTATAGTGATTGTTGTCTAGCCTTCTTTGAGTAAATCTTCTGGATTTTATACTAATTCTTCAAAATTGATTCCTTTGTTAAGCTTAAAACTGATAGTGTAGTGTCAGTGTGTGTTAGGGTAGTCAATTCAGATCAGATTGTTATGATATAAGTTTTTTTTAATGTTCATGTTTGTTTCAAAATTGAAGCTGTTTTTTTCTTTAATCAGAATCCATGGCTTAGAAAAAGAAGATATCATCGTTAATGCCAGACTGGTCTCAGCTCCCGGAGGAGCTACTTCAACTTATCTCACAGAAACTGGAACTTGAGGATCACTGTTTCGATGTCATTCATGCTCGATCTGTTTGTCACTTGTGGCGGTCCTCATTTCCTTTTCCTTCTTGCCTGTTACGCCCAAGTTATTCTCTTCCCTCGTTCCCGGGTTTCCCTATCAAAGACAAAGATTCATGTACCCTCGAGAAGCTTCCTTTGTTCCTCTTTAGAGTCAAAACATCTGCTGGTGATGTTGTTTCTGAGTATTTTCTAGGAGCAGTAGGCCGCGATGGGTCAGTTGATCATATGAAGCTTCTTTCATCTCCCCTTGAGTGCTCAGTGAAAAACAAGATTCCAGGATCTGACCCAACCTTGATGAAGATGCTCGACTGTCAGATTCTCTCTCTAGGCCATCAGTACAGAATGGCCGGTTTGTGTCCTGAAGAATGGAGAGTATATCAGAAAAGTGTGGTTTTCCTTCCGCTCAACAAAAATGGAGAAAAACGAGAATTTGTGGTGCTCCTCAACTACTCTGAAGGTTTGTTGGTGCTAAGAAGTGCTGAAATGAGGTGGAAACCGCTTAAGTGCCGAAGTTTTGTTGATCTTCAATGCACGCATTTAGTCACTTTTAGAGGCAGATTTTATGCAGTCTTTTTTACTGGAATAATTGTGGTTATCGATCCTTATTCTCTGCAAGTGACTCGCCTTATGCCTTCACAGCCTCTGCGCGGAAGTGATTATTTGATTCCATCTGGCAATGATGAGCTTTTCCTGGTCCAGAAATTCAATCCTTTTCCTGATGCTGATGTGTTAGATTTTAATCGTTTCACATGTAGAGTAAGTAAGCTAGATGAGGAGGCTGGTACATGGGTTGTGGTCAGCGATTTGGGAGACCGTGTGTTGTTTCTTGGAAACTTTGGGAATGTCTGCTGCTCTGCTAAGGAGCTTCCTGATGGATGTGGTGTGAGTGGGAACTCAATTGTGTACACCAATGCAGGCTATGTAACTTTTGCCTACAAATATGGAGTACAGACAGGAAGGGCGGAAGACGAGCTCAATATTTGGAGATTCTCAAGAGAGAAATGTGTGACGGTCCCCAGCACATTTCCTGCGGTGGCTCTCCGAGTTGAAGACCAAGTCGAAAATCTCGCTTTGGGTACTTGAGACATACTGATGGTTTTGTATATATTTTGTGTCACGACCATATGCTGAAAACTAGATAACTTGTATGTCAGTTTTAGTTTTAGTTTTTGTTCTAACCAATTACTTTCTCAAGACCAGACAACTATGTCTGTGGAAATGGTTGTCTCATAAACTCTCAAAGCTATGTTTGGCTGTGGTCATGCTTGTGTAGTTCAAGTATGCCTGTAGCTTGTGTAGTTCAAGTATGCATGTAGCTTGTGTAGTTAAAGTAGGCTGCTTTTAGTTTTTAACAATGGTTACATTCTTGTTTAAGGTAATGGTGCCTTAGTAGCGTGCGTAGTTCATTGTCCAAGTCTGGAGTTATCTCCATGTTTAAACTGGTCCAAACGCGGCGAAAAGTAACATTTCTGCTTTAGTTGGATCCTTCAGATGGTGACGATCAGGATAAACCTTGTTTTGTTTAGGGTAAGACAGGAAGAAGAAGAAGAAAAGTCGATAAACTGTGAAACAAGAAAACAAAGTCTAGCTTGGTGTTCAATACTCTTAAAGATGTCATTTAACTTCTTTTGTTTTGTGGATACACATCTTCAAAAATTTAATAGTTTTCACATCTTCAGTGATTAAATAGTTTTCTTATTGGACGAAATCATTTTGGAATCTTACTTTCTAGAGCCCAAGCAGAAAATTAATTAACTTGTAGGTGGTTACGGTTTTCTAAAGTGGTAAAAAGTAGCATTTTGAAAACATTTGGTGTAATATTTGCTTTTGAAAAACATTTTTGTAGCTCATACACATTTGCCTACCTCACTTGGCTTAGGTTTGCAGTTTGCTATTTTTGAACATATTATGAAAGTTCAAAAGACATTTATCCACTTTTTTTTAGATGATCGATAATTAATCTAATCATCTGTTTGTTGCCATTTTTTTATTAATTTTTTTTTCTTTAATGTCTTACCCCCAACCAAATTTATAGTCCATCTTTAAAGCGTGGAAGATCCTTGTTGTGAAAAGAAGTTGAGTCTATTACGAACCAACCGATCAATAAACTTGACAACTGACAAGCTGCTCCCAAGGCGTTGGGATATCTCTATGCCGTCCACAGTTTTGTGCTGTTAACGTAGTGTGGGAATTCAGATGAAGCTTTGGAAAACATACAATACTAAGACATTTGTTTGTTTTGGTTTTATTAGATTAAATTCAAATTATTCTTTATGATTTTAGGTAAGGATTTGGTGATATCTCATGATAGAATGATATGTGGAAAGCACTTGATAGTTTAGTTTTAATTTAGTTCTTCGATATCCTTTTTGTTACTGGGTGCGAAACGTAAATGGTAACCGTTGAATCTAACTGAATCGGGATGAATTACGAAATTTAGCTGAATTTATTTGTGTTTTTATAGAATTTAGCGGAATAATTTTTAAATTTAAATGGTAACTGATGTATCTAACTGGATTTTTAAATAAATCAATGAAACATAAAAGTTTTCAAAATATATAATGTAAAGTAGTGAACAATGTTAAATTAGATACTTAAATTTTTATCAAATATAATTATCATAGAAAACCCTTACTACAATTTTTTAATTTTTAATTCTTAATTTTTTTTTCAGTGCACACATTTATATTTTTAGTTAAATATTAACCCGTTTTACTAACATTGTTAATAAATCTACAAAAACAAAATTCACTTGATACAAATTTTTTTAAAGAATTTAACCAACTTCATCAGTATTATTATTATTACTAGTATTTTTTTTTTTTAAAGAAGAGCTAACTAATTTCTATACTTATTAGGAAAACTTTATGAAATTTGTAATTTTTAATATTAAAATATTAAATTTTTATTAAAACCATATTATAATAAAGCATTTTAAATGATAAAATATTACATAATCTAATGATAAGATTAAATTTCTCAACTTTCCTCAACTTTTTATTTATGTACAATAAAATGATATAACCAAAATTAAACAATTCCACAATACATATCTTGACCCAAATCTAAAGTGGCTTCTTAAGATTACAACTAATCTAAGCCTTTAGATTAGTAACACGTGTGTTCCGCGTAATCCACTTGTAGCCACCTTCCATTTCAGCTAGAAGCTCTCTCTCATTGACCCATTTGGGTGCTTTGAAGCTAAAAAGACAACGAAGATTCGCGACAACATCTCCTCAGAGTCCAACCCAAAAGTTCAAAACCCTAAGCTAGATTCTTTGCAGGTGACTGTAGAATCTTTCTCTTATGAACATATATTGATTCTCGATTTTTTGGTCTTCAAAACATGTTTGCAAATAAACCTATTCATGTTTTGTTTGCTATTTCAAAAACCCTAGACGTTATTATCGATGATCCTAGATTTTGATCACATCTACGTTTGCTACTGCTTCCATTAACCCTAGAAATTGTACTTTTATTTATGTGTTCAAAATCGTAGTTGTGTCCGCTTCCATCAGCAAAAATATCAGAAGTAATCAAAAACCCTAGAAGTCATTATCCATGAATCATGATGCTAGATTGATCTCATCTTCTCTGATTGTATATGTTTGCTACTGCTTCGTTTCTAGTCATGATTTTGTTTCTCTCTTTTGTCAATATTAATTCTCATATTTGGTTAACCCTAGAAATTGTATATACTGTGTAGTTTAATTTTATGTTATTGCAGTTGTGACCGCCTCCATCAGCAAAAAAATGGCAAAGGAACAGAACAAATTGTCCAAGCTAGACTGGTCTCTTCTCCCTGAAGAGTTACTTGACCTTATCGCCAAGAATCTGGAGAACGAAGACTACTGTTTCGATGTTGTTCATGCTCGTTCTGTTTGCACCTCGTGGCGATCCTCATTCCCCTTCCCTTCTTGTCTTTTAACCATGCGTCAACGTCTTCCTACTTTTATCGGTTTCCCTTTTGAAAGCATGTACGGCTCGTTCATTGTCGAGAAGATACCTTTGTTTCTCTTAAGAGTTAAAGCTCCTGCTGCTGTGTCGCCTTCTGAGTATTATCTTGGAGAAATAAAAGAACCGAAGGTTCATACGGAGCTTCCATCTCCTATTCAGTGCACACTAAAAATGACGATCCCAGAATCTGGTTCAACGGTGATGAACATGCTCGGCTGCCAGATCATCTCTTTGGGTCACCAGTACAGATTAATATACGTTTCGGACAGTAAGATGCCAAGAGGATACGGAGGTATGGCTTATCTTCCGCTCGAGGTGAGAGGAAAAAGAGAATTCGTTGTGGTCGTCATTTACAACAGATATGTTTTGGCGTTACAAAGTGAGGATATGCAGTGGATGCCGGTTAATAGAACTACATGGGATGCATGCGAGAGTATAGTCAGTTTTAGAGGCAAGTTTTATGCAGTCTTAGGTAACGGGGACATATGTGTTATCGATCCTTATTCGCTGCTAGGAACTCCTTTACTGCCCTCAATTCCTTATAACTCATTCAAGTATCTAGTTCCATCTGGTGATGATGAACTTTTCCTGGTTGAGAAAATCCTTCCGGTTAATTATCGTTTAGTGGATGATTTAAATAATTTACCCTGTAGAGTAAGAAGGCTAGATGAGGCGACTGGTACATGGGTCGTGGTCAGCGATTTGGGTGGCCGTGTTTTGTTTCTTGGAGAGCTTGGGAATATCTTTTGCTCAGTTAAGGAGCTTCCTGATGGTTGTGGTATAAGTGGGAACTCCATTCTCTTCACCAATGAGTATGTCGATGAAACTTTCGCCTATAAATATGGAGTAAATACAGGAAATGCGGATGACGACCTTAGCTTTTGGAGATCCTCAAGAGAGAATCTTGTTGAGATTCTCACCAATACTCCTCCGGTGGTGGCTCTCTGGATTGACCACTAAGCTGTTGAATCTTTACTTTATATACTTGAGACTTTGTGGGTTTGTATAATTTGGTCAAGAAACATGTACTATATCTAATGCTATTAAGTGTAACAGTATTTAAAGTCCTCCTCGAGTCATTAGCTAAACACTTTTTTTATTTCAATGACTTTTTGAGTAAGTTTCAGATATATAAATATTGGTGATGTTTAAACTTGTAACTTCAGGTTCATATGTACAAGCAGCTTGCTAGTGGGCATGTTGACAATAAAGTGGAGTTCCATATATAGTGGTGCACAAGTCTTAACTCTCTATCCAAGCCCTTTAATGTATATTCGGAAACCAAGAAGGTCATCAATGAACTTCTAAATTAAACTAAGTCTCATTTAACGATAAACAATAATAAGCATCAATCAAAGCTTACGAGTTCCAAGGAGACTTCTCTTAAACAAAAAGCCATCATAAAGGCTATATGAGCTTGAGTTAAATGATGTGTACATTACACTCTTATTCTCCATGAGAGTGTAGAGGCTGAGAGATTTAAGGACTTTTGATAATGGCGAGTAAACATTTCTTCAAGCCTCTTCTTCCCGGATTCTACAGCCACTTGGTACTATCTTACTTTCTGATCTCTCTTTTTTTCTTTATCTGTCTATGTTTGAGAAGGTCCTTGAGAAAAATGGGTCTGGTTTTGTATTTGCATGTTGTCTCAGACGATTCCTATAGCTTTCCTCTTGAATATAAAAGGAAGAAATGAGCAGAAGACTGTGGAGCTGAGGTCAGACGCGTCAAAGATAACTTGGAAAGTAAAGATAGATGGGGAGAGACTCACTGACGGTTGGAAAGAGTTTGCAGTGGCACATGATCTTCGAATCGGTGACATTGTTGTGTTCAGACAAGAGAGAGACATGGCTTTCCATGTTACATTGTTGGGACCTAGTTGTTGTGAAATTCAATATGTGTCTTGCCTAGAAGACCATAACAACCTCAGTGAGTTGTGTTCTTTCGTCTCTATATAACTGTCCATGACTAATATAATGGAATGTGCATGGATCTGTTCTTGTTTTCAGGGATGATTCAAAGGAAGAAGAGAGTAAGGAAGAATCCAAGAAGAGAAGCAGAGTCTTCATCACTAGATCCCTCTTGTTTCGTGGCTAATATCACACCTTCGACCCTCCTTTATGACAGACTGGTATCTTACTCTTAACTTGAACCTCAAAGTAAATTCCCCATTATAGGTTCTGAACTAAGATATATTGTAATGTTTTTATAGCATTTTCCAAGAAGTTTTGCAAGAGAAAATGGTCTGGACACAAGATGTGGAGAGATTGTTCTGATGAATGAAAAGGGCAGATCATGGACTGTAGATTTGAGAGGAAAGAGTTCATGCGGAAGTGCTTACATCAAACGAGGATGGAGAAGTTTCTGCCATGCTAATGGACTAAGTGCAGGAAGTTTCTTTACTTTCAGACTGATCCAAAGAGGAAGAACTCTGGTTCTACGTTTGTTCCCCAAAGAGACGGAAGAAGAAGAAGTAGAAGTAGTGTGTCTTTCCACAGAAGAGGAAAGTGATAAAGAGAGAAGCCAAGATGACTCACAAGAATGTTCAAAAAGAAAGGAAAAGAAGATATCGAAAGCTTCATCTTCGGGATCCCAAAACCGATTTGTGACACTAACTCTTACACGTTACAACGTCAGCTTATCTAGACTGGTTAGTGTACTGAGCCATTTTTTCTCTTTACAGCCTTATAGATTCTGAATCCTTATCTCCATTGTTTGAATCTTTCTCAGACTCTTCCAATACCTTTCACAAAGGCGAGCGGCATAAGATTGGCAAAGGAGATGAGTTTCTTGGATAAACACGGAGTAAAATGGTCTACGAGACTGAGGTTTGAGAAGGAAAGAAAGAGAATGAGATTAGTAGGAGGTTGGAAAGAGTTTTGCAATGCTAACCATGTGAAGATAGGAGAATCGGTCTTGTTGGAGCTAATTTGGGAAAAACACAAATCCTCTGTTCTTAAGTTCTGCTCCAAAGTGATGCCATAGACCAAGTGAAAATGTTTCTTTAAGGTTATTGAATTGCATGAATCAATGTTTAAAGCTTTTGTGTTTGATATCTCAGTCGTACTAGACGCTAGATGCTTGCTTTATCTGTATGGTTATGGTGTTGTGTAATAATAATATATCGTCTCTTCTAATTATATATACAACGATCCTGTGACAAGCTCTTCAGTTCCTATTAAGAATTGCAACGGTCTCTTGAATTTAAACCAAAACACGTAAGAGTTCACTTGTAAACCGACCCACTCTCTCCCCACAACCCCATATTGAAACGACGGTTACATTTTGAAGTTGTTTTTATAGCTTGTGTGAGTTTTGGGGTTAAAGTAAAGACTCTTTCTCTTCCTGTGGTATGTTTCTCGATCTTAATCTTTCTATGTTAATGTTTGTTTACAGTTTCCTAAAAACCTAGAAGCTTTTTTTTTTTTTGTTCTTTCAGATATTGAAATCAGCAAATATGACAGAACCTGCAGAGAAACAGAAGCAATCATCAGTTATGCTAGATTGTGTAAGAACTCTTTTTCTCTCGGTTTAGTTTTTTTTCAATTAATATCCTAGAAATGAATTTTTTTTTTTCTCTCTTTTAGGTTTCGACGTTGCAGCCTTGTTCATCTCCATCTGTCTCTAAAGAACAGACACTGTCCATGCGAGACTGGTCTCTTCTCCCTGAAGAGCTACTTCATCTTATCGCCAAGTATCTAGAGAACGAGGACTACTGTTTCGATGTTGTTCATGCTCGCTCTGTTTGCACCTCCCGTTTCCTTCTTGTCTCTTACGCCCAAGTTACTATCTCCCCACATTCGCCGATGAAAGCAAAGTCATGTGCACCCTCGAGAAGATCCCTTTGTTCTTCTTTAGAGTAAAAACTCCTGCTATGTTGCCTTCTATGTATTATCTTGGAGACTTAGGCCAGGATAACTCAGAGGATCATGTGGAGCTTCCATCTCCGCTTCAGTGTTGCGTAAGAATGAAGTTACCAGTGATAACACTACACAAACAGAGAGCCTACCCTGTTTTGTTAAAACTCAAAACGAGTTGGGCCTATCAAACAAAGTAAAGCCCAACAAACAAGGAATTTTGAACTCACCTTCATCAGCTGCAACGGATACAGCGCTTCAAGACAAAACCAGAGAGAAAGCTGTCATGTGTACGAACACAGTTAAAGTGAAGAACAGATTCACAGCCCTTGATTCTCTAGGCTCCGATGGATGAAGAACATCTGTCATGTGTCTCTTAGGGTTTTGTCTAAGTATAAATATCAGTTGTATTCCAATTGTAAAACCTTAAGCTGAAATAAGAATACAAAAAGCTTCAATCTCTGTTTTACTTTCATGGTATCAGAGCTCAGCACGCCTGAGCACGTGAAGAATCGATCTATGGAGACCTACATGGTTCCATCACTCAACATCTCCAACTGTGTTACTGTGAAACTCACTCAAAAAAATTATGTCCTTTGGAAGAACCAGTTTGAGACGTTCTTGGCTGGTCAAGGTCTGCTCGGCTTCGTCACTGGGTCTACTCCTCGTCCTGCAAACACCATTCTTGTTCCTGGAATCAACGGCTCTTCTACAGAGAAACCAAACCCAGATTTTCAGAAAGATAACCAAAACTGGATCAAAACAGATTGTGTTGTCAAGTCATGGCTTTTAGGCTCTTTTGCTGAAGATATTCTCAGTGTTGTCCTCAACTGTTCTACATCTCATGAGGTATGGATAACTCTTGCAAATCACTTTAATCGTGTCTCCTCTTCTAGATTGTTTGAGCTTCAGCGCAAGTTACAAAATGTAGAGAAGAGAGATAGATCTATGGATGAGTATCTTAGGGAACTTAAGAATGTGTGTGATCAGTTAGCTTCTGTTGGCAGTCATGTTCCTGAAACTATGAAAATCTTTGCTGCCTTGAATGGTTTGAAGAGAGAATATGAGCCTATCAAAACAACTATTGAAAACTCAGTAGATTCATCTCCACATATGACGTCAGAAGATGTGGTACCTAAACTCTGTGGATATGAAGACAGGCTTCAAAGTTACTTGGTTGAGAATATTGTTTCTCCACACCTAGCCTTCACCACTACACCATCCTCTGAATACTATCAAACAAACAACAGAGGTCGAGGTAACAACAAATCAAGGTTCGGTCGTGGAGGAAGAAACTCATTCTCTACACGAGGCAGGGGATTTCATCAGCAAATATCCTCATCCTCAAGCTTTTCTAGCTCTCAGAGTGGCAGTGTGGTTTGTCAGATATGTGGAAAGACTGGTCATCCTGCACTTCGCTGCTGGCACCGATTCAACAACAGCTACCAATACGAGGAGCTTCCGATGGCTTTGGCTGCTATGCGGATTACTGACGTTACCGATCATCAAGGACATGATTGGCTGCCAGATTCTGGCTCCACTGCACACGTCACAAACTCTGTTCAAGGACTTCATCACTCTCAGCCGTATCAAGGTAATGAGTCACTAATGATTGGAGATGGGAATTTTCTTCCCATTACTCATACAGGTTCTACCAGTTTAGCTTCTACAGCAGGTAATTTACCTTTAAAAGATGTCCTTGTTTGCCCTGATATTGCTAAGTCATTACTATCTGTTTCAAAACTCACAAGAGATTACCCCTGCTCTTTTGAATTTGATTGTGATGGTGTTCGAATTAATGATAAGGCAACCAAGAAGCTACTGGTAATGGGAAAACTGCATGATGATGGTGCTTATGGTTTGGAGGAACCTCAGCTGCAATCTTTCTACTCTACGCATCAACATTTGGCAAGTGATGAAGTGTGGCACAGAAGACTTGGTCATCCTCATTATCAAATCCTCCAACAACTATCCAAAGATCAGTCCATCTCCATTAATAAATTTACCAAGCTGGTGTGTGAAGCTTGTCAGTTGGGAAAAAGTTCAAGACTCTCTTTTTCTCCTTCTACTTTTACTGCATCTAGAGTACTAGAGAGGGTTCACTGTGACTTGTGGGGACCCTCTCCAATAATTTCTGTTCAAGGATTCAGATACTATGTAGTATTTGTTGATAACTACTCAAGATTCAGTTGGTTATATCCTTTAAAGATGAAATCCGATTTTCTACAAATATTTCTTATGTTTCAAAAGATGGTGGAAACTCAGTTTGAGTGCAAGATCAAAACCTTCCAGTGTGATGGTGGGGGAGAGTTTATAAGCAAACAGTTTCTGCATCATTTACAAGCCAGTGGAGTCCAACAATATCTCTCTTGTCCACATACTCCTCAACAGAATGGTTTAGCAGAGAGGAAACATAGGCATGTTACAGAATTGGGGTTGTCAATGATTTATCAAAGTCAGATTCCACTAAAATATTGGGTTGAATCATTCTTTACAGCAAATTTTCTCATCAATCTCCTTCCTACATCAGCTCTCGAGAACAGCAAGTCACCATTTGAGAAGCTATTTGGCAGGAAACCAAATTTCACATCTCTAAGGGCCTTTGGTTGTGCTTGTTTCCCAACTCTGAGAGATTATGCTGCTAACAAGCTTGATCCTAAGTCTCTGCAGTGTGTTTTCTTGGGGTATAATGAAAAGTATAAGGGATATCGTTGTTTATATCCGCCAACAGGTCGTGTGTATATAAGTCGCCATGTCGTCTTTAATGAAGCTGTTTTTCCTTTTGCATCAATTTTTCAACATCTTCATCCTGAACCAGCCACTCCACTTGTTTCTGCTTGGCTCAAAGGAATGCCTCCTACACAGAACAATATCAATCAGAACTCAAAACCTTCTACTGGAACCTCACACATAACGTCAGACTTACCAGTTCCACCTTTAAATGATGAGCATTTTCCAATGTTGCAGACTCAGGTCTCTGCTGCACTTGAAGACAATCATACTACTGTGGTAGAGGAGTGTACTGAGCGTACGACAGGCTCTGATCCTGCTTCTATTGGCGACAGCGCTTCTCCTACACAGGCAAGTACGATCATGTCTCATGTTCAGCAAACCGAGGACCTACAGATTCCAGCAAACAACACGGATAATGCTCACCCAATGGTCACTCGAGCTAAAGCAGGAATAAAGAAACCGAATCCAAGATATGCTTTGCTCACTCATAAGGTTAGTTATCCTGAGCCGAAAACAGTCACACTAGCCTTAAAGGATTCTGGTTGGAATGCTGCAATGCAAGAAGAAATGAATAATTGCAGTGAAACAAAAACTTGGTCTTTAGTGCCTTATACACCAAATATGCATGTTCTTGGCAGCAAATGGGTATTTCGCACTAAGCTTAATGCAGATGGTACTTTGGATAAGTTGAAAGCTCGTTTAGTGGCACAAGGATTTGGTCAAGAAGAAGGAATCGATTACTTAGAGACCTACAGCCCAGTGGTTCGAACACCTACAGTGCGCCTTGTTCTGCATCTAGCCACTTGTATGAATTGGGAACTTAAGCAAATGGACGTCAAGAACGCGTTTCTCCATGGCGATCTTCAAGAAACTGTGTATATGAGACAACCTGCAGGGTTTGTGGACAAAGATAAACCTGATTATGTTTGCCATTTACATAAATCTCTATATGGCTTAAAACAGTCTCCAAGGGCCTGGTTTGACAAGTTTAGCACTTTTCTCTTGGAATTTGGCTTTACTTGCAGCTTGTTTGACCCATCTCTCTTTGTTTATGCTCATAACAAAGACACAATTATGCTTCTTCTCTATGTTGATGATATGGTGATAACAGGAAACAACTCCAAGACTCTCTCACATCTCCTTGTGGAGCTCAATAAGCAGTTTAGAATGAAGGACATGGGTCAAGTGCACTATTTTCTGGGTATACAGTTTCAAGCTCACAAGGATGGTCTCTTTATGTCTCAGCAAAAATATGCAGAGGACCTTTTGATCACTGCTTCAATGGCAAATTGTGCTCCAATGCCTACACCACTTCCATTAGAGCTCGACAAAGTTCCACATCAACAAGAAGAATTCTCTGATCCGACTTATTTCAGAAGCTTAGCCGGTAAACTGCAGTATTTGACATTGACAAGGCCTGACATTCAATTCTCAGTCAACTATGTGTGCCAAAAGATGCACAAACCAACTGTTTCAGACTTCCATCTTCTAAAACGGATTCTCAGGTATGTTAAAGGGACAATCATCATGGGTATT